AAAACACCTAATGTACGACTCTAAATCGTCACAGCTCCATATTACATCCAAAACTATGGATACAAGTGTACTTGTCGATTCTGAGGCGTCGTATTTCTAAATTTATTTCTTAAGCAAAAATTTTAATTTAATTATTTCACGATAATATAATTTAATTGCCGTGTGGTCCCAGCATAGAATAGGCCACCCCTTCCTTTCCCGTGGGTATCGTTAAGGCGAATAAATGGAGGGCGAGGGATGGGCAGCAGCATTTCTCTTAAAACATCTCTAAAAGCTTAACTGCGGTCGCCAATCCGCCTGCTGAGCTCTCCAAGGGGAAGGCTTATGTTCGACAGTGGACAATTAAATTAATTATTATAATGAGTACAATTTTATGGGGTATCATAGAATATTTTTTTTTTTTAAAACACACGGGGCAAACGAGCATACAGCTCACCTGATGGTAAGTGACTACCGCCGCCCATGATCACCCACAACACCAGCGGCATTGCAGGTGTGCTGCCGGCCTTTTAAAAAAGAATATACTCTTTTCTTGAAGGTTATATTGTCGTATCGGTTCGGAAATACTGCTGCTGGAAGTTGATTCCAAAGAGTGGTTGTGCGTGGAAGAAAGTGCCTTGAAAAACGCACGGTGGAAGACCGCCACTCGTCCAGATGATTGGGATGAAACTTTAGTCTGTGGCGGGTTGTACGGTGGTGAAAATCAGCAGCAGATATCAATCCGAACAATTCCTCAGAGCACTCCCCATGATAAATTCGGTAGAAGATGCACAGAGATGCAACATCTCTGCGCAGTTTCAGTGGGTCAAGTCGGACAGTAAGGCGTATAATTTATTGATTTAATTAGAAAAATCTAATTTACATTGAAGTAGCGCAGTATTAAATTGTCATTAGCAATAGATTCGGATTGAGATCGACGTTGGATTCAAGAGTTATCCTACTGTTTGTTTGTTTGTTTATTGATTATTATCTATTAAACTTTGCAAAAATTCACATCTCCCCTCTTTAGGAGAGGAGATGGCAACTAACCCCCGGCAGAAGCACAATCGGCCCGGGTTCAGGGCCCCAGGGAGAGAAACCGGCGTACAATGCGGGCAGAATCTAAGAGCACTGCTTTCTGCATCGTTCCCGGGAGTGAACCGCCTCGGAATCCCAACCGTCTGAGATGTTGATTATTATTATTATTTCTTTTTAATTTAGATTTTTAATTTAGACATTTAATTGAAATGAATTTAATTTAATTGCTTTCTATTTGTATACAATTTTGTATGTTTGTTTGGTTTTGGTTTTTTTTTGTTCTTGTTTTGTGTGTGCTGTTCTTAAGTATATATAGTATTTTTTTTATATGTAGTTACATATGACTTCTCAGAATCGACACCAATGAAATACAATTTGGTTTGTAAATAATTACTAAGCCTCTTTTTCATAAAATCATCAAACCACTCGTGAACCTATTATTGCTATTGAACTGTTTTGTCTCTATTTTTAAAATTTCCAATTTGAAAAAAAAAAGGTGACAAAACAGTGTAATAGTTAAAATAGGTAGGACATTTTAGTTTTTATGAAAAAAGGGCACAATTCTTGATTTAAAATTAACAAAATGCGCTGGGGACTAAGCTGTAATAGAGAAATAAATACTGTTCGCACGTTATAACCTGGCAACCCTGAATGCTGCTTAATACTTTACGCTTAAAAGAATTTACATCCAGAGCCGTAAAACATATGAATAAAAATAATCCCCTTATTCATGTAAACATCAAATGTACAAAACCTTTTTTTAGCTATTTTTTTTTAAATAGTTTTTTTTTAATCTTTTACGTAAAATTTTCAATTAAAAAAAAAGTGATAAATCACTAAATTGAAAATAGATATGTTTAGTTTTTATGAATAATAAGGAATAATAGATGTTAGGGTATGTTGAAGCGAATGAATGCAAACGCTACATTGAGCAGCTCAGGACTCAGTCGCCCATATACCACCAGCACTGGGCCTATTGATTATCCCCCTTCAAGTCCTCCTTTCTTTACTTGTCCTTTTAAATAAACAATTTTAGCGAGTACCCTTAAACAATTTTAATAAAAAGAACAAATTATTTCTGTGTTAAATATTTATTTATATTTGTACACTAATATTTCAGTATCAAATATAAATGACTGAGCAATATCTTTAAAAGCACACAGAGTCAAGATTGTTTATTAAATAGGACAAGTAAAAAAAAAAAAAACTGGGTTCATAAAATGTTATTTTTAATATAGACACGTCAGGGTTACAAATTTATAACGTGCGAAGTTCACCCCTCAGACACACCCATACCGTATTCAGAGGATCTGTACAAAATATATCTTACTTTATTGTTTTTTTTTTTCCATCTTAACACTAACTATTCATTGCAAAATTATCATTGTATTGTATTGTCTAGTATAGATGCGGTTAATTTTAAACTTTCTCGTGTTGTTTACACATATTTTAAATACACAATTGGGACTTAACGTGACGAGAAACGTTTGCAAGCAAATAGTACCTACGTACGTACCTCACTTCAGTCGTGTCGTGACTACGACATGGTTCAATCCACGTCGAAACGTCGACAGTAAAGAAGCAGGTATGTAAGTACTATTTACCTGTAAAAACTTTTATATTACGTCAAGTCTCGATTGTGTATTTAAAGCATACACAGTATTAATATTTTGTTTTATCTAGTATGTATTTTCTATTCATATTATCTTGACTTCGCTCAATTTGTGGTCATTTCAGATCCTCAATATTTAATATAGCTCACTTGAATAGTAATTTTTTTTTTACTAAAAAAAGTAATATATGTAAACTTGTCCTCAATAGTATAACATGAAGTATCAATTGTAAATGTTTCTTCCATAAATTCATTTTTCAACCATATTACTAGTATCGTAAAGTTCATTATAGCGTGATGTCTTGGTCCAATTTTCTCAATATTAAAAAAAAACACGATTTCATTATTTCACATTTATTTCGCGTGGGCACGCAAAGGGCATCATTATTTGGTATGGACTATCCGAAGTTAATCTAATATCGTATATAGTTTTAATTATATATATATATATATATATATATATATATATATATATATATATATGTGTGTGTAAAAAAAATATTAAAAATAATAATAATTTAATATTATACTCTAATGTGACATCGTCAACTGTGTTAACAGAGAAAGTAAATTTACATATTCACAGCCGTGGCAACACCCATTGGACATCTGTTGAAATTGACACCTAATATTTACATACCAATCAATCATTATTAACAAGTTTCACGCAAAGATCTTGTAACGTACCTAGATTGTGCATTAATTACGAACGATTTATTATTCTCTTTAAAAACGACATTAGAGTAAAAAAAAAAAAACGTAAAAGCCAAATGAAAATTTCTACAAACCAAATTAATAATAAGAAAAAAAAACTACTATTGCACTATGCATCATATAGCTATCCCGCTCTATTGATTTTCCATCACAGACTTAATTCTATATAAAATAAAAAAAATGTGAAATGCACAATCTTTTTGTATATTCTAAAATCTTTTACTGGCAATATACGACGAGTTGGGTCGAATGTTGGCCCAATGTTGGTGCTATGGTGCTATCTAAACGAAGGCCCGCCGGACCATGGGTCGACATTCGACGGGCGTTTACACTGACCGAACATTTGTCATGCACCAATATTGTATACAAGTGAAAGACAGCGAGATCGGACAATGTAAAGGGCTACAATACAATCTTAATTATATAAAAAAAAAATAAGCCTGACTATAAAAAAATCACAAGCGAAAAATAAATTAACGGAGGGGGGAAATAAAAAAACTTAAGACACGTAGGTAATAGAAGAACGAACGGACGGTAAACGGAACGTATGAATACTGAAATAAGAAACAAGACGTTTCCATATTAAAAAAATAATATTTCATACTCAATATTAATCATTGGTTTTTTCACAGTCAGGCTTGAATACACTACCCTCCATATAAATTCTGTCTCCTTCTCTATTGGTGTATATTTAGAAAGAGACAACAAGAGAATAGCGCAAACTAGTCGAGATTATATTAAAATTATAACGTATCAATATAATTACAAATAAGTAGATCAAAATACATAAAAAAAAGTATCCATCGTTTTATTTCGAAAGAAATAAAAAAAAAAAAAATGAAAGCGTTTAAATATCCTAAGTAGATCACACGAAAACAAAAACCCTTCGTTAATGGTGACACACTTTCATTACGAACAAAGTGAAGAAAGAGATAGAGAGATCAAGTTATAAATAATCTAGTTTACAAATACTATTAACTAGTCAATTTCTCTAATAGTTACAATAAAACTGGCTTACTGTATACCAGGTGTGGTCAACAGGCCGATCGCGACTATTAGTCCAGTCGATTGTGGCAAGGCAAGAAATATAATATTTTGCTAATCTAGCGGAAGATGCTCAGACGCAATGCTCACACTAATATAAATAAGTAGTTACTAAGAATAATTTTCAGATACATATTTTCCCTTTTAATAAAATAAAAAAGAAAGGGGTTTCGTCAGTAAACAGTGGATTTCGAGTCTAGTCAAGTCGACCACCCCTGTTATAAAGTCTGTCTCAATTGGAACGGTAATAATTTACAATAATTATTCGTTGACTTATTCACAGAAACAATAAGACATATGTCAAAATTTAGTCGCGTTAAATCATTGCGGCGGACAAAAATTGCAACCGGATACTGTAATATCTTTAAAATACATCGGATAGAGTGAAACAGTATTATTAAAACTGCATAAAAATTAAGCGTAATGCATAAAACATTTGATTTAGTAAGTAGGATTGAAAAGTAGTATTTAGGTAGATGTATTTATAATAGACATGTGTGAGAATTGCTGGAACGTTCCATATGGTATTTTTAAATACGTAATATGGTCCAATGGTGATGTTTGGTCTTATTTCTGTGTTTGCGTGTGTGATACAAATATTAGAGAGGGGCACGCCGCGTATAAACTTTTCGGAAGCGGTAACAATAACAGTGGATACGACCTGTGAGGCGTGCGCGTGTGCGTGGGTGCGCGTGGGTGCGCGTGGGTGTGCGTGCGTGTGCGTGCGTGTGCGTGCGTGGGCGCGGCGGCTCAGAGCGAGTCGCGGTGCCAGACCCAGGTGCGCTTGGTGTGGTCGAACCGGTGCGCCAGCCACTGCGCCTGCAGCAGCTCCAGCCGGTCCTGGCTCAGGTACAGCGGCTTGCCGCGTCTGCCACCAACCAATAAACACCATTCATTATTTTTACTCACCGAACTGCGGCAACGACGCAGTTATCTATCAACTTTCAATAAACGATTCAACATTTTCCAATATTCCCAACTGATCATTTGAAAATCGCTCTGTTAGCGGACCAAAATGTTAATAGTAGAACATGTCGCATACAATGTTACCATCAATATTTGCAGTTACTTCATATTATGCTTTGAAATTTTCCAAATACGTTTTCGCCATCAAAATCTATATATTCAGTGGCAGCTCAAAGATAATATTCTCTTAAATAATAATATAATATAATTGTGTGTGTATGTGTGTGTGTGTGTGTGTGTGTGTGTGTGTGTGTATGCATACGCACATATTTATATGTGTGTGTGCGTGTGTGTATGTATATACTATTATATATATATATTTTTATGTTCATCAATATCATATATAATATCAATGATCATCTGCTCTCGATTATTTAGTTTGGTTTATTGTGGAAACTTTACTGATTTATGTTATGGTTGTGTATACTATTTTATATGTTTTAGATATTGTATGTTTCCCTTTCAAAGTAAAATAAATAAATAATTTAAAATAATGTTATTCTATAATATTATAGCATGATTTTCCTTCCAATTCGTATGCAGAGCAGTTTTCTAATCAATCAGAAATATTGAAAATTCTCCTATTGTTTTCGAATACTGACAGTGAATTGCGACGTTGCCACACTTTGTTACAAACATTCTTAACATAAAATAATATAATTATTAAATGTTCACATCGTTTAAATACGACCGTCACTTGCTTCGGATTTTAGAGGGCATGTAAACCCGTCAACTAGCAAACTATGCCAGGAGCCTTATACGACTCGGAAACTTTAGGTGCGTAACAGAAGTACATCGTTAAAGCATTCGTTCGCTCATTCATTCATAAAAAAGAACTACATCCTCATACTCGCACTAGTAGTAGATAGTAAAAATAAAAAAAAAATAAAACTTTGAGTACAATTAATATAGCAATTAATTAAAAATCCGTCCCGTAATTTTTGCATGAAAGAGTAACATTAATCATACAAATTTTCACACTTATTAATAATAATAATAATATGTCCTATGTAGACGGTCATTCTACACAAAGTGGCCAGTTTGTTTGAAAAAAAAAAATAGTGATGAGTCGAGGAGACTGACTTGAGGTCCCTGTCCTCTTCGTCGTAGTCGTCGAGGTAGAGGCTGCCCCAGAGGCAGGCGCGGCGGCCGCGGATCACCACGATGTACGTGGACGTCACCACCAGGAAGATGCCCGTGCCGCCGCCGCACTCCATCGCGTGCTGCCGACACAGTACAACCACAGTATTACTAATAGTACTAAAGTACTGTACGGAAACCCCCCACCGCCTGCTGCGACCTGACCTCAACCCCTCTGAAACACGCGTCAGTTACCATACGCTAATGGATGCCACAAGTCTACGCTTCAGTTGCCGCAGATGTCAGAGAAGGAGAGTAGATACAATATTTACGAGGTATAAAGAGAATTACTAGCTAATCTCAGCTAGTCTTAACTATTACAGATTTTGCACTAATCTTGTGATTATTTTGTAAGCGAAAAGAATAAATATATTATATATTAGTCCACCAGAATAAATATATATTATTATTATTCTTCGTTATTCGTCATTGAACTTAAAAAGTTAAATTGTGTTATTGATTTCCGCGCATTGTTTGAAAAAAGTACTATACAAGCCTTGGCCACAACTAGACATTGATGGACTCACGTATGTGTGCCTCGGCTACGCCTCGGCCTACATTTGCACGTTCGTCTATCAATGTCTCAGTTGCTGGCCGATGCAGTAATGTACTATAACACGTTTTAGATCTTTTGATTAAGTGGTTTATGTTTCAAAAGGTAACAAGCAATGGACTTTTTAATTGATAGAGAGTTAACCCAGTTGTTCCAAAGTAAGATTGCGCGCTGAGAGTGTAGTGTAGTGTAGTGTAGTGTAGTGTAGTGTAGTGTAGCGGGCGGGTGTAGTAGTACCTGCACGGCCTCGGCCACCTGGTGCTGCCTGCAGCAGGGCTGCTTGAGGCAGACGAGCGTGCCGCACAGCAGGCAGACGGAGGCCTCCTTGGGCACGGCGCCGCACTGCAGGCACACGCGCTCGTGGTAGTACGTGAACAGGCGGTCGTAGTCGCGCGGCAGCGCCAGCAGCGCCGGCCCGGCCCACGCGCCCGCCGCGCCGCGCAGCAGCCGCCGCACCTGCCGCGCCACCGACATTTAGCCAATATAGCATCTTTCAACTACCCACTGTTGAACACAAGCCTCTTCCTAGGAAGGTTTTGCTAGTAGTTGCCATGCTTGGTAGGCAGATTGGCAACGGCAGTCAGCCTTTACAGATGTTTTAAGAGGGACGCTGCTGCCTATCGCTTGCCCTTTTTTAGTCGTCTCTTACGTCACCCACGGGAAAGCAAGGGGTGGCTGGGACCATATGGCCATATTGTTACTAGTTGTCTTATTCGGTGTTATTTTATTTTGTCAGTGTAAAATCACATAGATGGGGTTTACATTGTTATTTACTTAAGACCATTTTGATATTTACAATTCAGTTCTTACAATACGGGAGTGCGATTTGCACGTTATTAGTGACTTTCTGATTCTTTTTACATTTTTCTATAAGTATTATCTTAAATTCGAATGTTTTTAAAAAAAGCAACATTCAATGGCTAGTTACGTGATTTTTTCAGGTTGTGCAATGGAACACTCTTTTTTTATGTAATTATCTTATATTTTCGACCCTCGATAGTCGAAGATTATCAGTGTGATCGAAGTGCGGCGTGCGGCGTGCGGCGTGCGGCGGCAGTAGCACATGCAACGAGCTTAGTGAGGATGCCCAGCCGGGCGGCGTACTCACGGCGAGCTGTCCGCGCTGCGCGGCGGTGCCGAGCGCGCGCGCCCAGGCGCGGGCGCGCGCGCGCCGGGCGCGGCGTGCGGCGTGCGGCGTGCGGCGTGCGGCGTGCGGCGGCAGTAGCACATGCAACGAGCTTAGTGAGGATGCCCAGCCGGGCGGCGTACTCACGGCGAGCTGTCCGCGCTGCGCGGCGGTGCCGAGCGCGCGCGCCCAGGCGCGGGCGCGCGCGCGCCGGGCGCGGCGTGCGGCGTGCGGCGTGCGGCGTGCGGCGTGCGGCGGCAGTAGCACATGCAACGAGCTTAGTGAGGATGCCCAGCCGGGCGGCGTACTCACGGCGAGCTGTCCGCGCTGCGCGGCGGTGCCGAGCGCGCGCGCCCAGGCGCGGGGCGCGCGCGCGCCGGGCGCGGCGTGCGGCGTGCGGCGTGCGGCGTGCGGCGTGCGGCGGCAGTAGCACATGCAACGAGCTTAGTGAGGATGCCCAGCCGGGCGGCGTACTCACGGCGAGCTGTCCGCGCTGCGCGGCGGTGCCGAGCGCCGGGCCCAGGCGGGGGGCCCCCCCGCGCCGGGCGCGGCGTGCGGCGTGCGGCGTGCGGCGTGCGGCGTGCGGCGGCAGTAGCACATGCAACGAGCTTAGTGAGGATGCCCAGCCGGGCGGCGTACTCACGGCGAGCTGTCCGCGCTGCGCGGCGGTGCCGAGCGCGCGCGCCCAGGCGCGGGGCGCGCGCGCGCCGGGCGCGGCGTGCGGCGTGCGGCGTGCGGCGTGCGGCGTGCGGCGGCAGTAGCACATGCAACGAGCTTAGTGAGGATGCCCAGCCGGGCGGCGTACTCACGGCGAGCTGTCCGCGCTGCGCGGCGGTGCCGAGCGCGCGCGCCCAGGCGCGGGCGCGCGCGCGCCGGGCGCGGCGTGCGGCGTGCGGCGTGCGGCGTGCGGCGTGCGGCGGCAGTAGCACATGCAACGAGCTTAGTGAGGATGCCCAGCCGGGCGGCGTACTCACGGCGAGCTGTCCGCGCTGCGCGGCGGTGCCGAGCGCGCGCGCCCAGGCGCGGGGCGCGCGCGCGCCGGGCGCGGCGTGCGGCGTGCGGCGTGCGGCGTGCGGCGTGCGGCGGCAGTAGCACATGCAACGAGCTTAGTGAGGATGCCCAGCCGGGCGGCGTACTCACGGCGAGCTGTCCGCGCTGCGCGGCGGTGCCGAGCGCGCGCGCCCAGGCGCGGGCGCGCGCGCGCCGGGCGCGGCGTGCGGCGTGCGGCGTGCGGCGTGCGGCGTGCGGCGGCAGTAGCACATGCAACGAGCTTAGTGAGGATGCCCAGCCGGGCGGCGTACTCACGGCGAGCTGTCCGCGCTGCGCGGCGGTGCCGAGCGCGCGCGCCCAGGCGCGGGGCGCGCGCGCGCCGGGCGCGGCGTGCGGCGGCAGCGCGCGGCCCGCGGCGCCCGGCGCGCCCGGCCCGCCCGGCCCGCCGTCGCCCGCCGCCAGCTCCAGGTAGCTCGCCAGCCGCCAGAACTCCTGCTGCGGCCCGCCCGCGCCCGCCGGCAGCGCGCCGCCGTACACGTGGTGCCGCAGCAGCGCCGCGATGCGCACGAACGGCAGCAGCAGCTCCTGCACCTGCCCGACCATACAATCGTACACTGCTGCTCCTCACGCCGCTACCGGGACATCATTCAGATAATATAAAACAAGAACAGGATAATTATACCCCACTTGGAAGATTATGGGATGCCGACATCGCATACTATAAATATCACGGCCCCACTTGGAAAATTATGGGAGGCTGACATCGCATACTATAAATATCTCGACCCCACTTGGAAGATTATGGGAGGCTGACATCGCATACTATAAATATTATAGCCCCACTTGAAAGATTATGGGAGGCCGACATCGCATGTTATAAATATCACGGCCCCACTTGGAAGATTATGGGAGGCTGACATCGCATACTATAAATATTATAGCCCCACTTGAAAGATTATGGGAGGCCGACTTCGCATGTTATAAATATCACGGCCCCACTTGGAAGATTATAGGAGGCCGACATCGCATGCTATAAATATCACGGCCCCACTTGGAAAATTATGGGAGGCTGACATCGCATACTATAAATATCTCGACCCCACTTGGAAGATTATGGGAGGCTGACATCGCATACTATAAATATTATAGCCCCACTTGAAAGATTATGGGAGGCCGACATCGCATGTTATAAATATCACGGCCCCACTTGGAAGATTATGGGAGGCTGACATCGCATACTATAAATATTATAGCCCCACTTGAAAGATTATGGGAGGCCGACTTCGCATGTTATAAATATCACGGCCCCACTTGGAAGATTATAGGAGGCCGACATCGCATGCTATAAATATCACGGCCCCACTTGGAAAATTATGGGAGGCTGACATCGCATGCTATAAATATCATGGCCCCACTTGGAAGATTATGGGAGGCCGACATCGCATGCTATAAATATCACGGCCCCACTTGGAAGATTATGGGAGGCCGACATCGCATGTTATAAATATCACGGCCCCACTTGGAAGATTATGGGAGGCTGACATCGCATACTATAAATATCACGGCCCCACTTGGAAGATTATGGGAGGCCGACATCGCATACTATAAATATCACGGCCCCACTTGGAAGATTATAGGAGGCCGACATCGCATGCTATAAATATCACGGCCCCACTTGGAAAATTATGGGAGGCTGACATCGCATGCTATAAATATCATGGCCCCACTTGGAAGATTATGGGAGGCTGACATCGCATACTATAAATATCATGGCCTCACTTGGAAGATTATGGGAGGCTGACATCGCATACTATAAATATTATGGCCCCACTTGGAAGATTATGGGAGGCCGACATCGCATGTTATAAATATCACGGCCCCACTTGGAAGATTATGGGAGGCCGACATCGCATGTTATAAATATCACGGCCCCACTTGGAAGATTATAGGAGGCCGACATCGCATGCTATAAATATCACGGCCCCACTTGGAAAATTATGGGAGGCCGACATCGCATACTATAAATATCAAGGCCCCACTTGGAAGATTATGGGAGGCTGACATCGCATACTATAAATATCACTAATATGTCACTCTAGTTTACTAGTGACAATAACAACAACGTCTCTAAATATATTATACAATGTCATCTAATCTCCTCCGATCAAACTGTTTATAACTACTCCTCTCTATTCAAAGGTTGTCTGGAAGAGATCGCTTTTATTATTATTTCTTGTAATTGTTTATATTTATAACAAGTTTACTATTGTAATTTTTTGGAGGAAACAATGAAGAATATCTATCTACTTAATCCTAAGTAAATCTAATATTAGACAACTAATAGAAATATATATTTTTAATATATAAATATTCTACATAGAAAACATTTAAATATATTTATGCATAGAATGTTATTATTGTAATACGACATGTGACTACATTTTTCTGTATAAACATAGAAACAATCTGGTCGATAAATATGTATAAAAAGAAAATGATTTATTGTGAACAACTGACCGCAATAGGGCGGGTGAGTGAGTGCTTTCCCCCGCTAGATGGTAATATTGTAATGTGGCGGACGGTACCTGCGCCTCCATGCGGTGCATGTCCGGCTGGGCGTGTGCGTGTGCGTGTGCGTGTGCGTGTGCGTGTGCGTGGGCGGGCGCGGCGCGCGGCGGGCCGTCCTCCGTGAACAGCTCCGAGCCCGCCAGCGCCGCCAGCAGCGCGCGCACCGCGCCGCGCAGCGACCCGTCCCCCGCCCCGCCGCCGCCTGCACCACCACCCCCGCCCGCCGCCAGCGCCGCGCGGCCCTCCGCCGTCGTGCTCGCTATGAACTGGCACACGATCTGGTAGTAGCTCAGCGCGTACAGGGCGCGCACGATGAACGTGAAGTGCTCTGGCGGAGAACGATTGCATTCTTAATAAATTAATCATTGCTCGCTTCGTCTTCACTCACTTTATCTTACTAAACTATAACTGTTATTGATTTGTCCAAGTAGCAAACGATGACTTTAATAAAATAAATTTAAATCCTTAAGGATTTACAGTCCTTCGAGCCGGACACTTACGAATATCCATGTGCGGCGGGTTCTCCGGCGCGAGTAGCAGGAACTGCATGAGAAGCGCGAGCGGGTCGCGCAGCAGCAGCGGCACGGGGCGGGACTCGGGCGCGGCGGACGCCACGGCGGGCCCGGCCTGCTCGTGCTCGTGTTCGCGCTCGCGCTCGCGCTCGCTCGGCACCAGCGCGCGCCAGGTCGCGGCTGCGCCTAGCCCCGCGCCCGCCTCCCGCAGGACGCGTACGTGTGCGCCCGCCACCGACATCAGGGGAACTGTATCACGTGTAAGAGAACTTTAAACTATCTACATCAAGAAGGAGAGAAAGGGGAAATGTTACCAATGAGGTTTAACAGTCTCTTTGCTGGTAATGTACTTTATGAGGTCGCCATCCGCGTGATTCTCCATAAGACTATCATAGTTAATTCCTGGTAAATCCGTCACGATAGACCCACATACCTGATTTCGTTCTGACTTATCCTCGCTAGCGTACACTGATAACACTGACGGAGTTACTATTCCATTTTTATTCCATTAAAAAACATCTAGACTATAGAGGTGCAATTATAACTGTACGAGGATTGAAGCTAAAAGTTAGAGCAAAGATGGTGGTAGTGACCGATGCAGTCGTTGCGCGGCTTGTAGCGCGGCGCGGCTGATGCGGCTGATGCGGCTGACGTGGCGGGCGGGGCCAGCAGCGTGCCGCCGCGCTGCACCAGCTCGCACTCGAGGTTGGTGCGCACCAGCGACGCCACGAACGTGAAGATGCCCGCCGGCGACACGCCGTACCGCTGCCGCAGCTTGCCGCTCGCGGTCGCCGTCATGTCCTTCATCGCCTTGCCCATCGCGTCCGACAGCCGGGACGGGCTCTGTCGACCAAATTATCGAATTGTACGATTGGAAAATCGTATTAACTCGGGGATATTAAAATATATATGTACACATATAATTTAATATCCCCGAGTTAACGTTTATTTATTCCTCATATTTAGATCATAGTGAGAGGAGACTGAAAGAATAAAGCAAGAGAAGAAATGCTCCAAATGAAATTCTATTTAAATTAGGAAACTTTTTACGATATCAAAACATAAACCCAACTTTCATTCCCAATGGAAAGACTAGTCCCTAGTAGGGGAACTAATAGATTGATATATATTATCGTGTATAAACGCCAGATGACATAAAAAACGTATTCATAAACGTATATATTAAAATGAACAAAACCGATAATATAATAGTTACCGGCGGCGGGCGGTCCTGTTCGAGCATGGCCTGTATCTGGTCGGCGAGCTGCGCGTCTGTGCGGTGGGCGGCGGCGGGCGGTGGTGGTGGCGGTGGTGGTGGTGGTGCGGGTGCGGGTGCCAGCGGCAGCACGGTGTTGGCGAGCTGGCGGCACACGGGGCACAGGAACTCGCCGCGCTCGACGTGCAGGTTGTGCGGCCGCTGCGGCGCGGCCAGCGAGCGCAGGTACAGCTGCAGGCAGCGCAGGTGCACGTGGTGGCCGCACGTCTGCACGTGCACGCCGCCCTCCCACCCCACCGACACGCTCATCAGCCACGACTCCTGCCCACACACCCGCTCTATGTCAACTCCAATAAATAATAAATTAAGTGCCATTCAATTCATCTTTATTCAAAGTAAAAATCTAATGACAAAGCAGTTTTTTTTTATTTATTTATTTAAAGGAACCCCAACAGCATATTGCATTATAACACATATAACAAACATTAAATACAATACGATATGAGTGCACATGCCTATTATAGGTATTCCACAGCTTTTTTTACTTTAACATACAGTAAGAAATGAAGTTAAATTTATAAGGAATTAAATAATACTACACTACGAATATTTTAAAAGTTGCGTTATTAGTTATGATTTGTGTCCAATTGATACAAATTAAGACCTTTTATTAATATTTTAATACCTTGTCGAAATGGTCCGCGAGGTCATCGTGCATGCGGTAGTAGTGTGCGGCGGCAGTAGATTCACGCTGTGCCGCTAGTCTCGCACGTTCCGCCTCCGACAGTGGCAGTCGTGCTCCAGCTTCTGCGGTACTCGCACCTCCCCCATATAACCCTCCTCCGTCCTCCTCCGTGGACTCTGATCCCGTCGCTCCCTCCAAATCCACGCGCCGCCGGTGACCCAGCACCGACGTCGACTAAAATAATAGCAATTGTTTTAATGCCCGATACCTTAGATTGTACAAAAGTAAGCTAGAACAAAAAGATTAGAATATTAATACATAATTGATTAAAAAATACTGTGATTTCAACTTACAATTAAGAGATCAGACAATACAATCAAATTTAGATCCTCCACACTTTGGTGGCATTACAGAGGCTTATGTGAAATCCTCAAAATATAATGTAAAATGTTTTACTTATAGACATAACTCTATATTATCAATTCGTATTCTGTATATAATTCATTTTGAATGGCAAACAAGTTATCAATCCACCAGACAAAAAGTGGTAATCAGAGAAACACTCAGGTTGTAGAATGAACAGAGGCAAGTTCTAATTGAAATAATAAGTGTACATTGCATTTCTAAAAATTTACTATTTTAAAATTAGATTCCATTGTTCCCTACCATGCCTTATGCTATAACTATTATTTGATACTGATGGAGGGCAGCCGGAGCGGAGTAGGAAGGCGCACCTGCAGCAGGACGACGAGGCCAATGGGGTCGGCGGCGGTGGTGGGCGCGGTGGTGTTGCATATGACGCAGTCGTAGTCCTTCTCGAGGTCGTCCTCGTCCCAGTCCATGGCGGCGGCGTCGTTGCCCTCCATCTGCATGGCGGTCATGAACTGCCGCTGGCGGTCCGCGAACTCGCGCATCAGCTGCTGCTGCCGCTCGCGAGCACGCCTCGACCGCTCTTCCTTCTCCTGCCGCTCCCTGCACCCATAAATACTTTCTCATACCTCTCTAGAGAAATACTTTCTTGAGGAAAGTATAAATTTCTTGTAAACGGCGTACATAGATGTATTATTAAAAGATAGAGTAAGAAATAGTGTGATATGAAAGAAGTGAAACTATATCTATACTAAAAAACTCAATGTAAGTATATTATTGTTTATTTGTTAATTAGCATGTTGTTTTCCTTATAATGATTGTACCTATCTATCTATCTATCTATCCATTTAAGAGCTGCGCTCTTGTCGGTGGAGCTCTTGCCACTCACTACGATTTTCAGCGAGTCTCTTCACCTCTTGATACGACACGACACCAACTCCTTCCTTGATCTGCCTGATGTAACTATGTCTCGGTCTCCCTCTTCCCCTTCTTCCTTCTATCTTACCTTCTATTATAATGTTCATAAGTTCGTCGTGTCGTATCAAGTGTCCTAACATTTTTCCCCTTCTGTCCTCGATAGTTCTAATAATTTGTCGTTTTTCCTTAACCCTAAGCAGGACCTCCTCATTGCTAATTCGATGAATGATTGTACACTATACATAAATAAATAGTATTCTTCATATAAAATTTTACCAGTGTAACAATTGCTGGGAGAACATATAAAGCTAAAATAAGTGTGGACTGAAAAACTATGTATTTGTAGTGAGAAAAATTCAAAAGGGAGTGTTGCGTTGATTTGGCCATTTGGATAGGATGAATGTAAGAAGGGTTATGAAGGAGATTTATCGAGAATGAATGGAGATATAGGTAGGAGCCGCCCTAGATTGACGTATGTCGACCAAATACATATTATTGTAATTTGCTAATACAAACTATTGCATATCGATCCTAATTCTAACCTAATTCCTAACTGTTGCTTCATGAGTGCAGTACAACATTGTCATTGGTTATATATTGGATTGATATTAGATACAAGAGTTATCCTACTGTTTATTTATTGTGTTGTTACGTGTTTACAAAGAATCTTTCTAAACAGACGAAGTGCTGAAGAGGGACTAAATTAAAACCCGCACTTGGCGAGTGTGTATGAGAAGATTGATGAATGTGGAAGAAGTGAAAAGTCTGTTTGAATGGAAGCATTTGGCATTCCATTGTTTCTGTCTACTGTAATGGGAAACAGGCATGACAGACATATATGTATATATGTAAGGTGTACATGATGGATGGGTAGAGGGAGTGTCAGTGTGCGTGTACCTGGCTTGCGCACCACGTTGCAAGGTGTACATGATGGACGGGGGGGAGGCAGTGTCAGTGTGTCAGTGTGTCAGTGTGCGTGTGTCAGTGTGTCAGTGTGTCAGTGTGTCAGTGTACCTGGCGCGCTGCTCGGCCTGGCGCTCGCGCTGGTGCGGCCAGAGCGCGCGGCGCACGTGCTGCACGGCGGCGGCGCAGCGCGCGTCCAGCCGCGCCAGCTTGCGCACCACGTTGCCGATGAAATGCGGCCCATCGCCTGCGTCGGCGCACATTACCAAACGATTAACAACAAACTTTCTATATGCTATATTCATTTATTTAAGGACAACAAAACAAAGCATACATTCATATCTACTCTATAGTACATTACTGCAGCGGCCAGCAACTGAGGAATTGATGGACGAACATGCAAATGTAGGCCGAGGCGTAGCCGAGGCACACATACGTGAGTTCATCAATACCTAGTTGTAGCCAAGGCTTGTATAGTACTTTTCTCAAACAATGCGCGGAAATCAAAAACACAATTTACAATAAATATTTTTCACGCGCCATAATATTCCTTTTTTTTTCAATAAACAGCTTTCTATTTGCAAGCCAGTTCGAAATTTAAATAAAACCTTTTATTAGTTACCTCCTTGGTAGCCATATTTCGAAGTAAAAGGTCATTCCATTATTAAATTACAGGACAGACATGAGTTTACATAGTAATTTATCTGGCCGCAAAACACGACAGATATGGATTTTCATACAACTTTTGCCGTCCGCTGCCCGCATGTATCTGGCCAGTACGGCAATTTTGAATTATCTCGAAAAAGATTATCAAAATAAGCGGCTTTTTTGTAGAAAATATGTCCTGAGGCTGTCGATCTCGCGGTTATGCATGGTCTTAACGCTTAACAAGCCTCGACCACCAGCCTTCCGCGGGATGTACAGCCTCATGATTGAGGATTTCGGGTGATGCATTCTATGGAGGGTCATAGTTGTGCGGACTTTCCGAGACAGGGCTTCGAGTTCGGTTTGAGACCATCTGAGCACGCCAAAAGTGTAAAGGAGTACGGATATAATCCAGCCGTTATATGATCGGACCTTATTGGCGCCCGACAAGGAACTTTTCAGTACTCTTGTAAGGCGCGCAAAAAATTCATCGGGGACTGACTGTTTCAAATCAGTCTCCCTCACACCGATGTTTTGTGACATGCCCAGATACCGGTATGTTTCAGCCTCGGAGAGAGTTTTGATATTGGAGGGATCTGTAACGATCCCTTCAGTTTCGAGTGACCCGTCCCCTCTGCACATGGAAGACCGCGCACTTGTCTTATCCGAGTGCCATCCTAACAGAGCTACTATAATCGTTTAGAAAGAAAGAAATAATTTAATCAAAAGAAACATGCGGTCCACACAGTAGCGCACAAAACAAAAACAAAAGAAATCAAAAACAAAACAAACAAAAGAAAATAATAATTATATACAAATAGATAGCAATTAAATTATAATGTACGCGTGCGCGTGTGTGTGTCGCAATGTTCTGTGATGTAGGTCCGTGCTCAGCATATTGCTGCAGCGCTTGAAGCGCTACAGCGCTGTTTTTCAGCAAGAACCATAGCGTCACAAGTAAAAAACAGTTATATAAGTTGTGCGTTTGTATTCTATACATATACAAATCTACATTATACATATACATATACACATACACGTACATACACATACACATACATATATATATACATACATAAACATACACATACACATACATACACATATACATACACATATATATACACATACGCACATACACATACATACACATTCACACACATATACAGAATAAAGAAAAATGAGATGGCAATATATAGTGTTCTATCACCTAACCTAGCCATACTATTACTATTCAATCAGATCAGCGACGCGGGAGGCTGTGTTCATGCATTGAGTGCAAAAAAACTCAATTTAACAAGTAATAATTATAGTATCTACCGTTATGAACATTAATGTACAATTTTATTTAACGAAGATGCTGCCTAACCAGTGATTATTTCGCTGCACCTAGGCCATTAAACAAAGATATGTTTACGATATTTAGCAGCTCCGTCAGGTGTTCGACGCTCGGAGCTAGTAGTTTCAAGTCATCCATGTACAGAAGGTGAGACACTCGTGTACCTCTTCTCTGATACTGAAATCCAGTCCACAAATTCTCCAGTAAAGTACTGAGAGGATTCAGGGACAGGGAAAACAAAAGTGGACTCAATCGCCTTGGAATATTCCCCTCTTAACCTCAATCCGGTCAGCAGTATCCGTCAATCGTTCGTCCTGGATAGTCAGGATCGTCGTTCACTGCCCCATGCATGCCTCCAGGAACACTCGAACCGTATCGTCGATCTTGTACAGCTCGAGTATCCTCCAGAGCCATGGCACGGAATCGATCGCCTTTTTATAGTCTATCCAAGCGGCGGAGAAATTCTGACGGTTCCGTTTAATCACTTGGCCAACGATAGCATCAATGAGGAGAAACTCCTTCGATCCGCGGCTACCACCTTTGCATCCGCTCTGAGCGCTAGATAGGATCTTGTTTTCGTACACATAATGAGATCTTAGCGCTCAGAATGGATGTTAACGTCTTACATATTGTCGTAAGACAAGTTATGGGGCGATATTTAGATGGATCCGCGGTATTCTTCGTTTTAGGAACTAAATGACTGATCCCGGTTGTAAGGAAGTTCGGGAGTGCCTTGTTTTCAAGGGCACTCTGGAATTCCACGGCTAAGATCGCATGGCTCGCCGAGAACGCCTTTAACCAGTAGTTCTGCAATCCGTCGATTCCCGGACTTTTCCAGTGCGGAGCCCGACGGATCGCAGCAACCACCTCTTTTTCCGTAATGGCAATGACGTTCATCGGCATTATTCGAGCACATGCTTCCTCAACACCGTGCATCCATGCGCCCTCCTCATACAGCTGTCGCCAGAAGGCGACGAAATTGGCTGTTTTGGGCTGTAGTATGCTGTAGTTTTGGGCGCTCCAAGTTCCTATACAACTTCCGTTGATTACTTATAAAGAGACGATTCTGTTGATACCTCTCGACCCTCTCAGAGTACCGTCGGAGTCGTTTCCCCCATGCAGCGATCTTCTGCTTCAGGTCGTCTATACACTCCGTAAGTTTTTACCCGAAGTCCGGCTGGAACAGACGTATACTTGTCCCAGCAAAGGTCTCTTTTACGGAGCGCATAACTCTCGGGCGTGTATTGCCCTCGCTGAAGCAGAGCAGTCTGCCAATGAGGACCCTGGCCTGGATGATCCGTCGCTCAATCCTTCTTTTCCAGGCTGGTTTCGCATTATCCCCTTGGATATTACGTCCAGCCCGGGGCATTTTTGCGCCGGTATATCGGTATACTGCCAACGCAGCGCCAAACATGATTGAACTCGTCTCTCCCATGTCACCGCTGCCTTCAAGGTACTGAGATAGCAGTCCATTTGCGGCCTCAATGGCATCGCGCGTCGCCACATTTGAATATATCCGGGGAAGCCTCGGTCTCTCTTCGAGGGGAGTTCTTCGGATTTCTAGAATCGCCTCTTCTAGTATGCTCCTCACATGCTCTATATCCTGGGAAGTTGTTCCGTCCACATCCGCTTCTGAAGGCGTTTTGGCAACCACCTCTACGCTAGGTAGCACGTTTGGACGGGTTGCTCCACGGTTGTGGAGTTTGCTTCTGGAACAACTTCACTTCGCAATCATTCGAGTTCGGTCGCGCTAAACATACCAGAGCGCTGTATGTACCGAACTCTATCGGCTAGGTTCTGTTCCGAGACGGTTAGATCCGGTAAAAGACGCAGAAACTCGCGGTGCATTACTGCCCGGTATCCTGTTCTGCCTGTTTCTGTCCCTGTAGCCCTGTAGAACGCACGCATGAGGTCTTCGTTCATGGTTCTCGTCCACCTCATGCGGCGTGTACCATTGTGAATTATTTTTATTACTTATTATCATAAGTTTTTTTTTTTATTAAATTCACTTCTTGCGCCAAATAATTACCGATTCCTTTCTTTTCTCCTCTACCCAGAGATATGTCTGCAAGAGATTGCTTTAACGATAATACCGCTTTTTTTTTTCTTTAAGTGTTTAAATAAAGAATTAATAAATAAATATAATTCCAAGCAGTAAAAATGTATTCAAATCGTCAGTTCACGCCTAGTGTAGAAAAACATGGCTCACCTATAGGTTCGGTGGAGTGCGGCGCGGGCTCGTCGAGCGAGAAGGAGTCGAGGCGGCCGGAGAGCTGCGAGTGCAGCTTCAGCAGCAGCGATATGATGGACTCGTTCACCGGGATCGACTCCTCCTGCTGGCCGTGCACCTGCACCTGGGGCACATAGCCATGCATGCACGTCACGAGGACAAATAGATCGGTATGTCTCCTCCACACCATTAAAACACTATGATTACATCAAGATCGATTAAATTATATACATTTTTCAAGAAAAATATTTGCTGGAATGAAAGTAATAGAAATGAAAATGGGCTAAAATATATATATCCAAAGCCGTAAACATACCACAAAAAAAAAGATTGGTAATTTTTTTTTAATAAAGTATAGATTATTTTACTCGTTGCTAATATAGTTTTTTTAAGCCAAGGACATTTTATTTTTAATTTACAAACAAAAAATACAACTTTTTATAACAATAGTTTAACTTGAAATGCTATGTTAGTATGTAAATATTTATGTTAGTATGTGCAATGAAGGCAATTAAGGTAATGTAATATTTGTTAATTGCATATTAAGCACTGTACACATTACATTAGTGTGTTCCCACCATTTATGTTATTTTCCTTGTTATTATTTAGTACATACGATTACCTTTATATTGCTGAAATAAGATTTTATCGAGCTGTGTTTGGAAATTTAAATTTGTGTGTAACATATATGTGTATCGTAGACATATTTAGGGGGAGACGGATGAGGCGTGCCAATCCCAGAACAGTCTGATGTTCATCCTAGGATGCCAGTGGTTTTTTTTTATGCAACTTAAAATGGCAAACAAGCTGACGGTCCACCTGATAAAAAGTGGCAACTGTCGCCTATAGACATGAGCAGTACCATGGACATAACAGAGTATACCGTTTTATCTATGATACCCCCCATCCGTGCCATTCCGTGGACTCAAGTGGTTTTTAGTTATGTACAAATATAAGGTGTCTAAGGTCTTTTTTAAGACGGTTAATCACTAAGTAAATAATGAAAATACTAGATGGCGCTGGAATCGAGATTTTTATTTTTGTTTACTATTTTGTATCTAGAGACAATATCCCAGTCGCACAACATTTCTGGCTAAAATGTGTTTTACAAAGTTGCATAACATAAGAGGACAAAGATAAAAAAATATGATAAATTATCACTTGTATTGGTAAAAAATAAATAAAATTCGTTAATTTAGTAACTTTGCCTCAAATTATCTTGACGATGATGAATCAACCACTATAATGAGCTAGGTGGCCCTGACAAATGTTTTGAAATCCATCAGCGTCGCGTGCGTGCGTGTATGTATGTATGTATGTATGTATGCGTGTGTGTATGTATGTATGTATGCGTGTATGCGTGCGTACCTGCGTGCTGGTGGAGGGCTGCGGCGCGCGCGCGGGCGGCGCGGGCAGCGCGCACCACTCCGCGCCCGCCATCTCTGCGCACGCGCACACACACACACATACACTTACTGTAGCTACGCGTTACCACTACAAACATCCTATAAACCTCTTCTGATCATTACAGCTTTTCGCCCCTTCCTCTCATTTAAATTTATGGATTTTTTTTTTCAACAGAAATTTAGTGCGAGAAGGGACAAAACGCTTCAACAGCTCCTGCTTTATGTTTGACGTTTTTGAATTCCAAACAATCTGGTCCTATTTAGGACAGGTAAACAGAATTTTCGAAAATAACATACCGCCTACGAGCATGTTAATATTAGCCTTCTATGAGTAAATATTTTTTTTAAATCAGCTAAATAGTTTTTAAGTTTTCTACTCTTTCCCCGTTATAATATTAGAACAGACCAGTGAATCATTTTATCATCCACACATACAAATTATACATACAAACTTTTCATACAAAATATTTAGAAATTGCATTAAAATCCTTTAAATAGTTAAAAACAAATTAAAAATAAATAACAAAGAGTACATTTTCATATTATATAGAAATAATAATATTAAGAATTACCAATTAAATATTTCTATATCTGAAATGTCTAATACAAGTTTCCTATTATTATTACCTTATTTAACACAGTTATCTATTACAAACAAACAAACAAACAAACAATTAAATCTTTCCTCTTTATCATATAAGTATAAAATACAAATGGTTGTAAAAGTATAAATAAATCAAATAAAAAATTGAATAAGTGCATTACCTCAAAAGCATCAATCTTTGGAGGATACCAATAGTTCAGGAGTTATTTGTTTTAAATACACACTACATATTTAAAATTCAATGATCTGATATTGTTTTGTAGTTTGTATTTACACATATTCATTAAATATATAGTTAATTTTATTGAAAAAAAAAAAACAACAATTGAGGTTCTTGTCCGTACTTTTTTTTTATCTTTATTTATTTAGGGACTTTTGTCCTTTTAGGCACGTCAGTCCCATCGTACCTTAATCACTTTTAGGACATCATTGTATATATTTTAACAATCAAAAGACACCAATAAATCAAATAATATGAATAAAAGGAATGTCGTGGAACAAAAAAAAACTTATTAATCTATGGTCCGATACAGGCAGATCTACATTAATTGCCCGTACTTCTTGGCTGAAATTGCGTTCCGAATGGGCGGTAGAAAGAATGACTATTCAAAAATGCCTAAATCTAAATTTACTTGAATAAAATATATCTTTCTTTCTTTTCTAGTGTACAATGTAAGAATTAAAATGTTGATAACAATACCGTAATCGGTGGAGTCCGGAGGTGTGACAGGATCAGCGAGCGCGAGCGTCATCTGCGCATCACTGGTCATCTCCGTCCCGCTCAGCAGCTGCAGCGCTAGCGACGACCGCTCGCTCACGTCCTGCGACCGACCAATGGCATGTTTGTAGCGCAAGCTTCATCGCTTTGTTGCCACTTAAAACTTTTATGTACAAGTAATAAATACCGCGTCGCTGTTGTAACTGTCCACTATAAATAAGTGGGGGGACATGATAAGGCAAGCAGGGGGGGGGGGGGGGATGAGATTGTTAGTAACAGGGACTGTTAACCTCATTGATAGCAGTTGCTGTGTAGAAATACCCTGTCAGGTCGACGTCCACGTGGTTCCCCCTGGAAACCATCGTGCTGAATGCCAGGTATATTCATCACAAAGAATGACCTACCTTTTCATTTTCACCTTCATCATTCATTCATCCTTCCCTGGTGTCACATCCGTGTAGGTTTAATTTGATGAAATTTAGTAAATTTGTTTTGTTTATTTATTTTTATATTGTTTCATTATATATGTTGTAGAAAAAACAGTTACGAGTGCGACAAGTATTTTTTTTTAGCAAAAAGCCATGACCATAGACAAGTTAAGCAGACAGCATGGAGACCGCGGTTCCTCATTGAATTGCACGTTTTACGTTTGAGAGAATACAGCCTTACACCTCTTCCTAACGTAGATTGTATGGTTTATTTTTTAACATAATCAGTAGTACCGCATTCGAGTATTCTGACACTTCCCTATGGTTGACTGGGAGAGAATGCTTTTAGCATTAAGTCAGCCATGTACATATATTTGTACTAATGAATAAATAAATAAAATAAACATATAATTAATATTTGGAAATAAAAATATTTTCCTTTTTTAATCAATTTTAAAAAGAATTAGTTTTTCAATTCTGTTCTATTTTTCATGTTTGTTATCTCATAACCTTGTCAGTTATAAACCAGTTAGGGTACAGAGGAATAACACCTGAGTCCTCAGGAATGATAACGCATGAGGGGTATCATGGGCGAAACAGTATACTCGGTTATGTCCATGGTACTGCTCATGTCTATAGGCGACGGTTACCACTTTCCATCAGGTGGGCCGTCAGCTTGTTTGCCATTCTGAGTTGCATAAAAAAAGTTGTAAACTGATTTTTTAAAGCATATGCTTATAGTTTTATGCCAACAAAAAAATTTTTAGAAACGTTATCAAAATGGATTAAGTAGTTTAATTTTTAAATCAAAATAACTGATTTAAATTGTTAAAAATGGGGATTAGTAGCCTCATTGTTAGCAATACACCCTGTCAGGTTGGCTTCCTCGCGATTCCCCCTGGAAACTATCGTGTTCAATTCCAAGTGGATTCATCACGATAGGCTGACTGACTTGCCTTTTCATTGTCACCTATCATCCTTCATTGGTGCTCCACCAGCGTATACCGTTAGCGCAGGCGGGCTTATTATTCCATTACATACATACATACATATCTGTCACGCCTGTCCCCCATTAGGGTAGGCAGAAACAATGGAACGCCAAGTGCTTCGATTCAAACAAACCTCTCTCGCTTCTTCCACATTCATCAATCTTTTCATACACGCTCGCCTGTTACGGGTTTTTGCCATTTGGCGAAACAGGGGACACATGACGTGACCCGTGGCATAACGCATCGCCGTCGATGAGAAATTTGTCCCCCCCCCCCAGATATTTTTTTTGCGGGACCCTATTTAATTATTGCTCACCTCTAATGCTCGTATGTGGGGTGCATCACCGCTGGCATCAGACTGGTCGTCCGGTACCGAGTCGCCTCTTACTACCTAATGACAAATGAATAATAAAGTAAGAACTACCTAAGTCATCATCATCATGTCAGCCTTTAACTGTCCACTGCTGAACATAAGCCTCCCATTTGAAGAATTTTGCCAGTATTTGCGACACTTGGCAGGCGGGTTGGCAACCGCAGTTAGGCTTTGGAGATGTTTTAAGAGGGACGCTGCTGCCCATCCCTCGCTCTCTCTTAGTCGTCTCTTACGACATCCACGGGAAAGAAGGGGTGGCCTATTTATTATTATATTATTTTTTATTATTGGCCTACGCCGGGAGCACACGGGACCACAAAGGAATAATACAAGAACTACCTAAGTCTTGACAATAATTAACTACATTTTGTTCGGCTCGCGATTCCGACATAGAATAGTTTGTTGAAAATAATGTTTCCTTTCTTTCCTCGTGGGCGTCATAAGAGTCGACTGAGGGAACTTAATGATCGAGATATGGACAGCAGAGTTCCTATTTAAACATCAACAAGGTTTAACTGCGGTTGCCAAACTGCCTACCAAGCATGGCAACTACTGGCAAAACCTGCTCAATAGGGAGATGCCTATATTCAACAACAAAGACCTAATTGTTGGTACTACAATACTGTTTGTTCAATAAAAAAAAACAAATAGCGAAATCGTAAATACATCATAAGTATATTAAAAATATTTAAATTTAAAATCTGGAAAAGTACATTTTTCACCGCAACAAGAAGTTTTGTATTGTGTAAAGAAAAACATATTTTATAATTCTTTTTGCAATTTATTTTTGTGTTGGTTTCATAATAAAAATAAATAAAAAAAAAAAAAAACAGAGTTTTTAATTGATTCTGAATTTTAAATGGCGTGAATTTACAGGGTACAGAGGAATAACACCTGAGTCCTCAGGAATGGCAACGCATGGGGAGTATCATGGGCAAAACAGTATACTGTTATGTCCACGGTACTGCTCATGTCTATAGGCGACGGTTACCACTTTCCATCAGGTGGGCCGTCAGCTTGTTTGCCATTCTAAGTTGTATAAAAAAAAAAATATATATATTTTACCAATCTCAAGTAAAGGGTATTTTTATTTAACTTTTAAAAATTGAAGCGAGGGTATAGCGTACTTGTAACAATGTGGGGACCGCCAGCGCCGTACTCGTTGTCGGCAGTGATACCGTCTTCGATAGCGGCGGAAGTCTAGTGTTTACTGATTCTGATGGCTCCCATTCTGTGTCACCTGCGAATAGCATTAGCTCTTTTGTAATTCCATTAAAATAAGTTATTATTAAGAGATTAATATATGTTGAGTATAAAATAAAAATTTGTAAAGCCATCGATAAAATAAAGAAAATTTTCATCCGGCTCGAAGGATTAAAAATATTTTAAACACTACAGGTTTCCTTTAAATGTCGTGTTAGAGGGCAGAGGCCGTGAAGGTGTACAGCGTATTCAGGTGGTATACATATATGCGTATACTGACTGTCGGAGTGGTAGTGCGAGGGGTAGACGTGCGGCGGTGGCGGCGGGTGGTGGCGCGGGCCGTGCGGCGGCACCGAGCCGACGATGGTGCGCGCGTTGTCGCAGACGGCGGCGCCCGCGAACGCGCCCAGCAGCGGCACGCCCGCCACGCGCGGCGGCCGCGACCCGCCCTCCGCCTCCGCCACGCACACGTCGCGCTGCAACACACGCGCGGTTAGCTCGCTGGCGGCTGGCGGCTCGCTGCGCTGCACGCTACGTGGTACGTACGTCGTGCGCGCGCGCTCGCTCGGCGGCCAGCTCGGCGGCCACGTCCAGCAGGTACACGGCCAGCGCCAGCACGTGGTCGGCCGGCGCGTGTGGAGCCGCAGCGTCGGGCGCGCGCCGGTGCACGCCGCGGTGCAGCACGGCCAGCAGCGCGCCGTGCAGCACGCCTGCCGGTGACAACACACTAGGTCGTTTCAGTAGATCTTCTGGACTTTTTAGCGGTTACCGGAAAATTCTTGTTAGAATTTGAGCTTTAGATTGTCGATCTACCGCCGCAGAAAATCAGCACGAATACGACAGAGGAAATGTCAAATACGAGCGACTCGCAGCGGTCCATCGATGTTATGACCGATCTTATTACGTAGTATAACCAATAGTTACAACTTGTATGTAATTGATATCCCATCGCTAAAGATTATGAATGTAGCACTAACGTCATTTTATAAATCAGCAGTCACAAATCTTACTTGTTACCGCTGACTTTTCAAATATGTTTTAGTTCGTCAACAAACAGCCTGCCAAAAAATATTAAGACTCATCTTAATATTTTTTGGTGGTCTATGGGAGGAAGCAGCTAAATACTGCAATTACAATTGAAAGCGAATAAATCAATCGTAAGAAAAAATAAGAAAATAAATAACAAATTGACATTACCTATATCTCACAGTAAGAATATTAATGACTTTAATCAGTAAATTAACAAGAAAAAATCGTATTATATAAGGTAACACTTTAACAATATTTTAAGATAAAAAAGTTACTTGAATAACTCGTGTAACTAGCTACTTAAACAAGTGTAAAATGTCAATACGGTGAAAATGAATGTTAATGGTAATATGTTGGCAGTGTATGCACAAGTGAGTGCAGCAATAGAGTGGTGACCTGAGGCGCAGAGGGCGCGTGGGTCGCCGGCGCCGGCGGGCGCGGCTCGCGGCGGCCGCAGCGGCGGCCACAGCGGGCCCGCGGCCCCGCCGCCTGCAGCGCCGCCCGTCGCCGTGCTCGCCCCCGCCTCCTTCTGCTTCTCGCGTACGCTGCACACAATACATACACATAGGAACTTCGTTTTAAAACGACTTCCCCAAAAAAACATGTTACAACAAAGGTTGTCTGTAAGAGACTGCCCTAGCGATAAGACTGTCTTTTGTACCTTTATGTGTATATTTCGATCTGTATTTACGTTACTGTATTTCACTTGAATTGTTCAATTGTCACTGTATTGTATATTTTTGTTTATGGTGCAATAAAGTGTTAAAGCTTCAGCTGCCCACTAACGAAATGCTTTCTTACTGTATTGGGTTGACTGGAAGAGATCTCTGTCAGAGATAAGTCCACCCTTGCTCACGACATGTATAAATACATTATTTTATATGTAACTTACAAGTGCAATAAAGAAATATATATATATATATATATATATATATATATAAACAAATAAACATATCTACATAATTCCCAAATTACCATTATAATTTTGGGAAAGATTTACTCCCGCATCGATCCGATATTACTTTTGTCAAATCTCATCCTCCTCTAAACTTTTTTCACATTTATTTAGGGATTTTTATCCGAACAGCCAAAGTGAAAGTTACATTTACCCTTCTCAACATTGAATCATTTTTTGACCATATTGCCTCTTATTCATCTTTTAAGTCTCATTCCTCCATTTTTGTCTTCTTTCTCTACTCTTACAAAATAAAAAAAAAAATTTAAATAGACTTGTCAAACTCTTTAAATCGTCATTTTTATTATTCTACTGCTGGGTCCGGAATGTAGTTATCTGCTGAGAAAACCCCAGACAAAACCTCAACAGTTTTTAGATGGATCTTAATTCTTGTTTATCCTTAAATAACCACAATTAATTCTATGCAATGAAAAGATTTCTTGCATATGGGGATGGCATGTGTTTTTTTCTTTCCAGTCAAGATGCCCTTTATACTAGATAATACAAATACCGTGCACTCACTAGGCTGTGAAGCGGTCCATAGACGCATGAAAGTCCCGCCTGTGCACGGCGCGCCGCAGCACGTGCAGCGGGTCGTAATACTGCTCCCACACTATCGGCTTCGGCACGAACAGGCCCTGCTCTAGATTCTCCGAGCCCTTCGGTGGGGGGCGGTATGTTGACACCTGTTCAAGATAGATCAATTAATCATTTAAAACAACATAACAATTAGGTAGGTTTTTGGCTAACCGAATTCCAGCCCATTTTGACATTCGACGCTCCGTATGTATATGATCTATATATTAGGGGTATTGTGCGAATGTGGCTGATTCTGAAGGAATCCTTATGGTCTTTTGTTGAAGAAGCTCATGATGTAGTCTTTTGAGAAAACCAAATATATATATATATATAGTATTACAATCTTACTATTATGATCTGAAACACTGTTTGTCGGCAAACGCATTAATTTGTCTTTTTTATTATTATATCAGCCGTTAATTGCCCACTATATAACATAGGCCTCCCCCCCTTCACCCCAGAAGGGAGTTTTGCCAGTAATTGCTACGGTTTATAAGGCGGGTAGCGACTACAATTAGGCCTTTAGTGATATTCTGCTGCCCATTTCTCGGCCATTAAGATCTTTTAGTTGCTTCTTACGACACTCACGGGTAAGGAAAGGGTAACCCATTCTTTACCAGGAGCACATGGCTTTTTTTTTATTACCAGACATTTTTTATGACTAAACCGGACCAATGACCAATCACCCGCTTCTTGAGCACGTTCTCAAAGCTTGTTTTACGCGACGCCGGATCTCCTTGGTATCATGCTCCAACCGTGTCTGCATACGCTGGTAGTCACCTGACATCATCACCGATTACTCACCTCTTTGAGCACGGTCTCGAAATTCCTGGTGTGCGCGTTGCCGGACCTCTCCGGCATTAGCTCGAGTAGCTGCGAGTGCGTTTTGTCGCCGGCCGCCAGCAGCGTGCTCACCTCCAGCCGGGACTGGGTCAGCTCGTCGTTGCCTGCCAACATCATTATTTATTTATTCCTCTTAAATATCCTATTACAGGTTTTGATCTAATGCATGAGATTTGCAATTTAATCATTCATCATCAATATCGATGGTGGTAGGAAAGTGTTAGTAATGGAGACTTTCAACCCCTTTGCTAACAATATACCCTGTCACGTCGACCTCCCCGCAGTCCCCTCTGGACTACAACGTGCTAAATTCCGGGAGTATTTTTTTAAATGGGTGATAATGGTATGGTAACCCCGCCTGCGTTAACGGTATACGCTGGTGGAGCACCAATGAAGGATGATAGGTGTCAATGAAAAAGCAAGTCAGTTACCCTATCGTGATGAATCCACTTGGAATAAAACACGATAGTTTCCAGGGGGAATCGCGAGGAGGTCAACCTGACAAGATGTATTGCTAACAACGGGGCTACTAATCCCAATTTTTTACTATCCATTATCCCCTCATTTCGAGAGTATTAATCACGATGGGCTAACTGACCTGCCTTTTCATTCTCACCTATCATCTCTCACTGGTGTCCCACCAGCGTATACCGTTAGCGCAGACGGGGTTACTATTCCATTATCATTCATTATCACTTTTCCTATGTTAAAAACAAAAAATACATTAGGAATTAGCTGTTCCCTCGGCTTTGCCCGTGTGAATCTGTCCATAACGTATCCTATTTGCTAAGTTAGTATATAACCCATCCGTGTACCAAATTTCTTTCAAATTCATTCAGTAGTTTTTGCGTTTAATAGGATTCCTATCATCATCATTATATCAGCCTTTAACTGTCCACTGCTGAATAGAAGCCTCAACCTTGGAGTTTTGCTAATAGTCGCCACGTAGGCAGGCGGATTGGCAACCGCAGTTAGGCTTTGGATATATTTAAAAAGGGACGCTGCTGTCTATCCCTCGCCCTTCCTTAGTCGCCTCTTACGACACCCACAAGAAAGGAAGGAGTGGCCCATTCTATGCCGGAAGTACACGGGAATGGAATTCATACAAAAATCAACTGTTATAGACATATGGTTTAAGGAGTTTTCTACGTTGGCAATGTTACATAATTAATACATACATAGTAAGCTAAATTGGTTATTAATAAAGGTAATAAGGGAACGACAGTTATCAGTGTGCAGAGTAACGTACTAGGAATTCTGATAGCAACAAAAACCGTATAGAGCATTGTGTTCATTCATAACTTTATCGACAACAAAGAACGATATTCAACGCAACAATATGCAAAACACGCAATGTGTTGAGTCATAGAAAATGCAAGTGGATTCAAAGATTTTTTACCAGAGGGAGACTTTGTACAAAAGTCGATTGCTTGGGTACCTCTGTCCCATTCGTGTTTCAACCGTGAAGCAGTTGTGTTTGCATGGCTGTGTTTCGGTTTGAAGGATGGGATATGGCGTGAATTTACTGGGTACAGAGGAATAACACCTGAGTCCTCAGGAATGGCAACGCATGGGGGGTATCATGGGCGAAACAGTATACTCTATTATGTCCATGGTACTGCTCATGTCTATAGGCGACGGTTACTACTTTCCATCAGGTGGGCCGTCAGCTTGTTTGCCATTCTAAGTAGTATAAAAAAAAAAAAAATATTTCTCTGTTCAGTAACACTGCATCAATATCCCACAGCTTTGTACTGATCATTACCTATAAGTGATTTTTATATTAAATTTATTTACAATTACTCTTCTCCATACAAAGGTTGCCTGGAAGAGATCGCTCTTAGCGATATGACCGCCCGATATTTTCTCAGTGTAATCTTTTCTTGTAATTGTTTGTATTTACTATTGTAATCTTTTGGAGGAAACAATAAAGAGAAATCTTTATTTTTTTTTATACAACTTAGAATGGCAAAAAAGCTGACGGCCCACCTGATGTAAAGTGGTAACCGTCGCCTATAGACATGAGCAGTACCATGGACATAACAGAGTATACTGTTTCGCTCATGATACCCCCCATGCGTTGCCATTCCTGAGGACTCAGGTGTTAATCGTCTGTACCCAGTAAATTCACTGCCATACCATCCCACCATGCAAACACAATTGCTTCACGGTTGAAACACGAATGGGACAGAGGTACCCTAGCAATCGACTTTTGTACAAAGTCTCCCTCTGGTAATAATAATCTATCTATATATGTAGGTTATATCTTGCATTATATAAGCAGTGTCTCCATAGAAATGTTTTAACAAAAAAAATAAACTTTTTTATCCATGTGTGCGTACAGATGGGCAAAGCACCGGGTTTAAACCCGGTGCTTTGGTAAAAACCCAATAAACACCCATAAACTCCCATAATCACCCAAAAAAATAGGTTTTTACGTATTTTTTTGAAAATATGTAAGTAATACCAATAAATTATTTTTATAAATTGTATTGATCAATTCTACAATATTAAATAAAACGTTAACTAATAATATTTCAGGAAATTTTAAAAATCTATATATAATAAAATGAAAGTAATTAATTTTCAGTGTTTTCATGTTGCAGTTGATCAACATGTTGGCCTTTTGCTTCCCGTAGATACTTTAAAATTTCTTCATAACACCTCGTTCGCACACATGGCCGTATATATTTAAATTCTTGAGCCACTAACAGTCCGAAATACTCATTTCTTTTATCCTCTTCTCCATAAATTAAGCATTTAGAACAGTTTGTTTCTTCTTTCAGTAAATTTTCTTTTACTTTATCCTCGTTTTTTTTCTTTGTTGCGACGACGCTGGGTAAATCATCTGGACACTGGGTCTCACTATCGCCAAATATATTTGGAGATCGGCTTCGGCTACGGCTTGGCAGACATTTTTTTCTTTCTACAATTTTAAATTAAATTTATTAGAATAAATGCTTCGAACACACGCGATCTAAGTACCTTTTGTGTTTATTATACCTTACCTACCTAGGTATAAAAAGAGTACTTACGTAGATTTTCTTTTATTAACTGTTTTATACGAAGATCTTGATCTCTCAAATTAGCATCCATTTTACTTCCAGTGATTATCAACTAAATTAATAATACACAAAGTATTAAATAACGTTTTTATGAAATATTTAGCACAAAAACAATACCCTTTAAATATCGATCGTCAGTAACTGTGGCTGACTTACCTATATTCTAGCAAGCAGGACTGCCAGATGTGAAGGGGAAATCCCCAATAAATTGTTGCATGTGACTGATGATGTGAGCATGTTCGTTTCATAATAAAAATGTTGCCAGGTAACCAAAAAGTCGTATGTTTTTGTGCGAATTACGATCATAATCTTTACGATCGTACATTAAAAAATAGACAAATAATAGTATGAGTACGATTTAAATCGTATATCTGTCAACCCTGCTAGCAAGACAGCGACAAAATCACGTTGCATAACAATGTAGCCCAAGCTTATATCTTATGAAATATACGGAAGAGATACGGACTTAGAAAAAACAGAAATGTTGTTCTTTGTGGAAGTCATTGATGAAATTCTATGTATTTTAGCCCGCAAACTTTCTTCAAACAAAAACAGCGCCATCTAGTATCGAGTTCTGTAATTATCTCTTTGTTTATGGATTTGAAGTAAGACCGCCACGCATGCAATACATTATGACTGGGGATTCCCCTATTCGTCGACGCTGAATATGAGGCGACGACAATCACTGTCAAACGTGTTCACTATTACTCTGACTCTGGTAACGTGACTTCCTGGTAACGTGTTAGGTAGGAAAAGCAGTAAAAAAGTGCATATTAAGGGAGCAGATTTGAAATAATATTTATACTTAACAAGAAATAATTAAAGGTAAGTGGATTTTTGAATGATACAATTATATCATGATCACTTAACAATTTTAACTTAAAATTAGATGTATTATTACAAGCTTTTATTTAGCTTGCGTTATGTAAATAAAAGTATGTAGGTATGTTCGTATGTTGATGCAATTATCCTCAATCCTCAACCGACTGGGATAAAATTTTCCATACACGTTTATTTTGGATGATAGTGCATAGTTAGCTGAGAGTCGTCATTGGATAATAATGGTGGATAGCCTAAGATGTGTACTAGATATTTATTTTTAACATAATATGCGTAAGTACCTAATCGAATTAAAGAAGTTGCTGAGAAAAATACAGAACAATACGATAATAAACTAGCGTCTGCGTTTAATCCTCCGAGGAGATGTAATTTTACAAAGGTTTTTTGTATTTATTTTATTTTTTTTTTATTAAATTTATTGTAAATAACAAGAAATAATCATTGTAAAAAAATAGGCACTCTATTGTTGAATTTTCGTCAGACCAACTAATCATCGTTCATTTTTTTAGGTTCAATGGGGAGACCTAAAGATTTACGCATATGGGAGCACTACCGTACTTTACCAAACAAGTCTGTTTCTTGCAAGCTTTGTAATAAGGTCTACAAATTCAGTAATGCTGCCAAAATGCTTCAACATCTTATCACTTGTCCAAAATCTCCAGAAACATTAAAAGACTCTATGAAACTTATAAAAGATAGCTCGTCCAAAACCAAAATGTCTGGACTGTCAGAGATAGAGACAAATGATTCTTTTATAAGCCCCTCGTCGTCTGCTAACACTACAATAAATGCTGAGTTTCAAGACACCGATGATCATATAAAAACAGAATTAGCGAGAGCTATATTTGTAACAGGGACGCCATTATCGATGGTGCAACATCCTTTATGGATACAATTTTTCGAAAAATTGCAACCAAAATTTAAAATACCTTCACGTAAAGCTTTAGCGACAAAATACTTAGATAAAATATATAGAGAAATGCGTTTTGAGTTAAATGAGGAACTAAATGCTTGTAGTTACTTACACCTTCAGTGCGATGGCTGGTCTAATTTAAGAAATGAAGGAATAATAAACTTTCTTATATCAAAACCTCAACCTGCATACGTTAAAAGTTTGAATACAGAAAGTAATCCTCACACTAGTGAATACCTTAGCCAAGAAGTTGAAAAAGTAATGAAAGTGTATGGAGCAAATAAGTTTCTTGTACTTATTGGCGATAACGCTAGAAATATACAAAAGGTATTCGAATTAACAAAACTCAAATATCCACATGTTGTTCCTCTCGGTTGCTGTGCACATATCCTTAACTTGTTGTGCCAAGATATTGTAAAGATACAAGAAGTAACTGTGTTTATTATGCAAGCCATAAATATAATAAAAACTGTTAAAAGGAGTCAACGATTAAGTTCCTTGTTGATAAAATCAAGGCAGGGTGAAGATTCTACACAAACACTAAAATTGCCTTGTGCTACAAGATGGGGAAGTCATGTTACTTCGTTAAAAAGTTTGAAAGCAAATAAGATAGCTTTGCAAATATTAACAGTTAGAGAAGATGTGGTAATTTCAAGAGATATTAAAGATTTAATTCTAAGTGATGATTTCTGGACGAAGACAGGGGAATGTATAAGTATTTTGGAACCAGTCACTGAAAGCATATTTTACTTAGAGAGCGACCAGAATCGTTTGCATCGCACATACATTACATTTAGAGATGTACAAGCTAAGATACGTTTTGCATTAAATGAGATTTCGACATTGAGCGAAGAAAGCAAACAGCAGATTCTAACATCAGTATCTTCAAGATGCAATATGGCAATGAGGCCAATACATTTTGCAGCATATATTCTAGACCCCAGGACTCTAGGAGTCGAACTTACTCAAGAGGAAGAACTTAAGGGTATGGAGTTTATCTACAATTTAAGCCAACACTTAAGTTTGTCAAATGTAATGGCAGATTTGGCGTGTTATAAAGCTAAAGAAAACTTTTGGGCCAGAGGATTTGTATGGAGCTCATTAGATAGCATTGAGCCCCTAATATGGTGGAAAGGTATTTGTGGTTCCACTGAGTTAAGCAAAGTAGCGATTCGTATTCTATCAGCTCCCTGTACTTCGGCAGCCACTGAGCGTTCCTTTAGTATCCAAGGCTACATACATAATAACAAAAGAAATCGACTTACAACTGAAAGAACTGAAAAAATTTCATTCATTTGTTATAACTGGAATCTTAAACATAAAGCTGAATGCGAGGACATTCAGTTTAATGAAGAAAATACCTTAGAAGCTTTCATTGAGCAAGTAAATGAACATAACAGTTTAGACGAAATAGAGCCTATCGAACCTATACAATTCATCGCTTGTAATAACTCTGAATCTGACAGTGATTGACTGTAGTTTTACATTTTACTTTCATCTCTTTCTTAATAAACTCAAAATCAAATTAAAAGTTTTTTATTCTGTAGGCTGCATAATAATATTGTCTATGTCCAGTATAGTGGACGTCTTGCGGCTGAGATGACGATGATGAAGTACAAAATCATAAACACCCAAAAATTTGGGTGTTTATGGGGTTTAAACCCAATAAACCCAAAACACCCGGTTTTTACCCACCAGACTTTAAACCCACCCAGGTGGATTGCCCATCTCTATGTGTGCGTGAATAGGGTTACAATAAGTACATTTATTACACAATATAAAAGAGAAATCGAATCGTCGAGATAATTCAGGTAAATTAGTACGGAAATGATCCGTCTCTTATATTATGCAATTACCTAGATTGGTCTGTGAGGAAACCAGAATGGCGAGGAAGGTGAGCAGTCCTTCCACCATAGCGTCCTGTTCGGCGGCTTGCACCAACGTCATCGGCAGCATGCTCAACCATTCTCTCACACCGAACCTGTCAAATTGCAAATTTAAGATTTCAATTCACTGAAAAAAGTAAGCATTGACTTCAATCGAGACAAAATTAATGTAGAGGCCAATACGGGAATAAACAATATCTATTAGGTAACGAATATGTATGTGTGTGTGTGTGTGTGTGTGTGTGTATATATGTATATATATAATTATTTATAATTTATGTAAATATTTATTTAAATTTCTGTCTTGCACTACTACTGCCCACTCACTACTTCCTATGCCACTGCGTTAGGTTGACTGGAAGAAATCTCTTTTAGAGATAAGTTCGCCTTTGCTAACATTGTTATTAACTTATTGTTGTTACTGTATGTTTTAGTGCAATAAAGAATATATAATAATAACGAATGATTAAAATCGGTTCGCAATAGGCGAAGACATTGTGTTAAATAACAGACATAAAAGTTGTAGCACTTCAGCTGCCCGCTAACAACATGCTTTCTCACTGTACTGGGTTGACTGGAAGAGATCTCTATCAGAGATAAGTCCACCCTTGCTCACAACATTTATAAATAGATTATTTTATATGTAACTTACAAGTGCAATAAAGAATATATATAAAAAAAAGGATTTATTTATTTATTTATTATATTAATAAATGGTTCTTCTGATTGAAAGTGGTAATCGTCACCTATAACTACTGCACTGCACAGAACAGAATAACTGCATACACTACCCATTCATTATCATTTTGATGATCATGAGAGCTATGATGATATAGTGATGTGTAATACATAGCAATATCTATTGTTACAATAACTATATATTGGCTCATAAATGGATAATTTAAATATCAGTTATCCAATATGTATTATCCAATTTGTAAACGCTGATAGATCGAAATGAATGTAGACATTCGACTGGTATGGGCGATACCGAAATAAATGATGACCTTTTTTCCGCCATCATTGTCCAGAGAACGCAATATACAGATATCAAATCGTACCGATATCATCTATGATGATATAACTCCTTATTCTCCGAATTTCACTGTATCACTCAAAGTAAAAGATGGTCAAGTGAGAATAGTCGCTTAACGATTGATAAATATAATACAAATTAAGGCGATGTTTCTCAAAATGGAGCCCACGCCCTACAGGGGGGTAATTTGATAGTTAAGGGGGGACAATTAAAAATAGACTTGAAGCAATTTTAATCTTCTTGCTTCGGACTATTTAAATGCAATCCTTCGAGTAAGTATCGGTGCCAAATATAACAAAAAAAAAAAAGTAAATAAAACAAATGCTGTAAATATTTATTAGGTATAATTTCGTTTGACATTACCAAAATATCAACTGGGCGATTAGAGTCGTCAAGTAAACTGAATTAAGGGGACTCCCGTGTCCATCCCAGAATTGCCTGGTACTTAAACCAGGACGCGAGAGGAACTTTCAGCTATATCCAAAGATATATCTGTCATATAAAGTATATCTATAAAGTATATCTTTTATAAAAAACCGGATCATTCTGGAAAATAATTTAAAATATGCTAATGGATATGAGTACTTCTGTTGATAGTCAACTTGTACAAAGTCTCTCTCCGCCAAAACTATTCATTTATTAAAAAAATCCATTGAATTCACTTACATATCAATGCACATGTCAAGGAACTGATCAGCAGGCAGGTGGGCTGCGCATATTTGCAACCAGTATATGTCCATGTCGACCATGGAATTACAGAAGTTCGCCTGGATGTAGGTCATCGCCTGCCCCTTGATCTGCAGCCCGTTCCGCACCCATATCCCCGCTAATATCTCGTAGAATAGACTCTGGAACAATAATATAAATAATAAGACTATGTTAAAATTACATATTATATTTATTTTCAACCGACTTCAAAAAAGAATGATTCTGTATTCGGTTGTACTTTTTTATGTGTGTTACTTAATAACTGTGTTAGTAATGAACCTATTTGGATATAGTTTTTTATCTGAAAGAATATATGTCTAGTTGCTTTTTAGTTAGGTTACTGCACTAGATTACCCGCCAATTAATTATTTTCTCTCTAACTACACTGGGTTGGCTGGAAGAGATCTCTTTTAGAGATAAGCCCTCCCTTGCTATATGTATTGATCAAGTGTAATAAAGAATATATATATATATATATATACAGATTCGTCCTATACACGTTTTCTCAAAATCTGTTCAATAGTTTAAGACCAAAATAACTGGCTTTGTTACATTTGTAGTCGGTTTTTTTTATGCAACACATTCTTTAAATATATTATTATTCTTACCATCATAATATAGGGAAAGTGATTTCTTAGAAAAATCAATTAATTGTTATAGTAATATTTTATGTATTTATTTTTGTACTAGCGGCCCGTCCCGGCGTCGCACGGGTGGACTTTTTTATACTCGTATTTTAAAAAGTGGCCATTAAGGCTGCACACGCGACGGAAGCTTAAAAATGGAGTAACTTCTCCCGTTTTCCCTACATTTCCCTTCACTGCTTTGCTCCTATTGATCGCAGCGTGATGAAAAGTACACTATAACCTGCCCAGGAGAAATGCTAGATGTATAAAAAAAAATCGAGGACTTTCTCCTTTTTAGAATACATTTTTGAAATTTGAAATTTGCATGGCTGTGTTTCGGTTTGAAGGGTGGGATATGACGTGAATTTACAGGGTACAGAGGAATAACACCAGAGTCCTTAGGAATGGCAACGCATGGGGGGTATCATGGACGAAACAGTATACTCTGTTATGTCCACGGTACTGCTCATGTCTATAGGCGACGGTTACCAATTTCCATCAGGTGGGCCGTCAGCTTGTTTGCCATTCTAAGTTGTATAAAGAAAAATCCTTTTGAAAAATAAATCATAAAGATACAACAACTATCAACATATATACACGCAAATGATTCACAGTGCGTATGCATCTAAATATAGATTTTGATAAGTAAATCGGCGAACTTTCAAACAGTGATGGGCTGAATAGGGAAACTTACCTAAATAATACAAATGTTGCCAGAATTATGAAATTTTGTATTGTATTCGGGAAAATAACGCCTGGCCTAATGTTTTCAAGCAATTATGAAATAGTTGTGACTCAGGGGCGTACGAGTAGAGCGAATTTCCGAAAATCAATACATATAATAGGGGGGAAAGGGATTGTTAGCAATGATGTTTGACAACCCCATTGCTAGCAATATGCCTTATTAGGTCGCCCTCCACGTGGTTCCCCCTGGAAACCATCGTGAACAATTCTTGTTGAGTTCGTCACGATGGGCTAACTGACCTGCTTCATCTCCTCACATATCATCCCTCACTGGTGCCCCGCCGGTGTATACCGATAGCGCGGGTGGGGTTACCATTTTATGATCATCCATTAAAAAAAATATATATAATAAAAAAAAGTTTCAGCCAATTCAACTGATCGGTTATTTTATAGCATTTTAGATTGGAATAAAACAAACACTAAATATTAAGTGGAGCAAATCGCAATGCATTAGTGGAAATCGTATTCAAATCGTTTAAGCCATTTCTGAGATTAGCGTGCACAAACATACAGACAAATAGATAAAATTTCGAAAATCACTGTTTTAGGTTCTATTGCGTTTATAAAGCCTCCCCGTAATAGTTTTTCTTATATATCTTCCATGTACAGACAGCGACCAGTTACGTTTTTATTATATGTATTAATATGGAACGTCGACTGTATATTTCTCTTTAGGTTTTGGGCGAAGAGGCTTTACTAGAGGTATCTACAATCTCAATCCTATTCAATAACAGATAGATAGATAGATAAATTATTTATTCATCATTACAAACGCATAATTTATTTATTTATTCATTAACAATAATTATAACATTATAACAGCAAAAGCCAAATCAATGTTATAGATCTAGTGTGCTAACATGCAAAGTTATAATAAATGTATTTAACCCGACTCGAGATATGTCTGAGCCGCTTCTAATATCTTTGGCAGGCTGCTACTAAATATATCAATGATGTTTATTTATAATATTATTTAATAACCGTACTGCGTATCGTAATTTATAAATTTATAAGCAAAACAGAAATGTGTTACTTAATAACTGTGTTAGTAATGAACCTATTTGGATATAGTTTTTTATCTGAAAGAATATATGTCTAGTTGCTTTTTAGTTAGGTTACTGCACTAGATTACCCGCCAATTAATTATTTTCTCTCTAACTACACTGGGTTGGCTGGAAGAGATCTCTTTTAGAGATAAGCCCTCCCTTGCTATATGTATTGATCAAGTGTAATAAAGAATATATATATATATATATATATATATATATATATATATATATATATACAGATTCGTCCTATACACGTTTTCTCAAAATCTGTTCAATAGTTTAAGACCAAAATAACTGGCTTTGTTACATTTGTAGTCGGTTTTTTTTATGCAACACATTCTTTAAATATATTATTATTCTTACCATCATAATATAGGGAAAGTGATTTCTTAGAAAAATCGTAATTTATAAATTTATAAGCAAAACAGAAATGTGTAGATAATTTTATGAACGATTATTACGGTGAAAACGTTAATAACTCAGCACTAAGTTGCAGAGTATCCGCAACGCTGATATACTGCTGATCCCTTGTAAAAAGGATGAATAATAAAATTGACTTCGAATAATATTGATTGATGCCTCGTGGTTGATGACAACGCCATTAGGCGCTTGGGGGAAAGGGATTGTTAGTAATGGAGACTGAGAATCCCATTGCTAGCAATATACCCAACCTAGTCGACCTCCTCGCGGTTCTCCCTGGAAACTATCATGGTTAATTCCTGATGAATTCATCATAATGGGCTAACTGGCCTGTTTTCATTCTCATCTATCACCCTTCACTGGTGCTCCGCCAGCGTATCCCGTTAGCGCAGGCGGGGTTAGCTTTCCATTTTCACCCATCAAAAAAAAAAAAACGCCATTAGGCGTTAAGTCCGCCATATGTATCTACACTTATATAATTATGTATTGAAGTTTCAATAAAAAATATCATTATTTAACATAATACACTAGTTGACTCAGCAAACATTGCTTTGCCTCTTACTGCCACTCTCCGAGTCTATTTCTTTCTATCGAGATAAACCCTAACTCTCAAATTTGGGCAAAATTTACAAAATTTCATTAAAATCGACAAAATTGTCTCGAAAATGTTTTAAACATTTTCCAAACAAAAACACAGAATTTTTATATACGTATTAAGATTTCTACCATTCGGTAATTTTTTCATTACATACTGGCAACTTTTATGAGTGTAAATAAAACAAAGCTCGGGCGGATATTGCGGCCAAGTATCCCGATATGTCGGCTCAACTGCACCGCGTCATTGTGGTGCTGCTACTCGCATTTGCAAACTTGACTAATGCCTTATACGACGAGGCCGTCGAAATCATCCATATCGGCAAGGTGATCAGCGAAGATATCATAAAAACGTGGAAATTGGTCGATTCCACTCATTTTAACGATGAAGACCTACCACCGATCCTCATCAAAAATAATGAGAAGAAAGTGATGAGCATGCTGAAACACATTAACAGTCGCATACAAAGGTTGGACTTGGACGTCAATCAAATTGGGAGTGTGGCGTGTAAGATAACTAGTCAACGGCTGGAGAGCCAGCTGAACCTGTTAGCCGAACTAATATATCAAGTGGAAGCGACACACCAGTTGTACATCGAGTATGAAAAGAACCAGAACGGACTGGAACAGATGACCCTGGAGGACTTTGCGAAGTGGTGCGTATCCCATGATCCCAGTGCGCTAAGGGGATTATTGGAACGCATCCATTCACTGTCGATTAATCCCAATAAGCATCCAATGGGAAGGAGTTTGCTCGAGTTAATCCTGAAGAATTTAAAGGTTTGGCATATTGTATTACATTTTTACTATATTATAAATACGAAAGGGAGTTTGTTTGTTGTCTTATAGCTCCTTAACAGCTTAACCAATCATTATGAAATTTGGTATACGCGTACTGTATGAGATGGGGAAAGATAAAGGCTACTCTTTATCTTGATCGGTAAACACATTGTAGTCACGCGAACGACGTCGCAGGTAAAACTTAGTACATAATATTCATTTAAATATAATTTTGTCATTATTAATTTCTGTTCATATATTACGTGCATGAGTTGTTTTTTTTATACAACTTAGAATGGCAAACAAGCTGACGGTCCACCTGATGGAAAGTGGTAAACGTCGCCTATAGACATGAGCAGTACCATGGACATAACAGAGTATACTGTTTCGTCCATGAAACCTCCATGCGTTGCCATTCCTGAGGACTCAGGTGTTATTCCTCTGTATCCAGTAAATTAATTTAATTTATTTTTTTATACAAAATCCCAAGTTTTTGTCTGGTTTTTGGGCTGTACATAAATGTATCAGTCAGTCAATTGTCGCTTTATTTAATGAACTATCAAGTTAGATAAATAACACAAAGGTCAACGGAATCAGAATGGTTTCACCTTTAGATAAGTATTAGGTTATTAACTTCAACATAATTTATACGTAATAAGACGCTTATGAATGCTCTTATTGTAAAAAAAAAAATGAGTGCAAATATAAAGTGACTTAGAGGAATAAGCGTAGAAGAGATGGACGCGAGGAGCGAATTAGTATAGTCTTTATTCGTGGGAAATACGTTTACAATTTGAGAAACCACGCCATCAATGAGTTTTTATGTAAATGTTCTTTAGGTTTTGACCTTATAATGAATAAGATAAAAAACTGATAAAAATTTATAAGCATTTTAACAAATTTTCATCAACTCAAAAACAAATTTTGTTTTTTTTTTTTTAATTGAAAAAATAGGTTACTCTCTCACTCATATCTTTTTGTTAGAGACTATTGTTATTTTTTTTTAATGGATGATAATGGAATGGTAAGATCGCCTGCGTTATCAGTGTACATTGGTGGAGCACCAGTGAGGGGTGATAGGTGAGAATAAAAAGGTAGGTCAGTTAGCCCATCGTGACCAATCTAACAATAAATCAGTCACGATAGTTTCCAGGGAGTACCACGAGGAGGTCGACCTGACAGGGTATACGAGGTCTGTCCGGAAAGTTCGTATAAAAGTGTTCTGGAATGCGAGAAAGAGGAGTGGGGAGGCCAGGTAAGCGCAGGACCCCTTCCTTATGTCCCTAACAATGCTTCAGTTCTGGTCTGACCGCCGTGCGGTGCGAACTGGCTTGTCACGCCATCTGTGAAGTTACCTCTTAACGAAACCCCGTCGGCATGGAGCCCGCTTCCGTTGAAGAGCAGCGCGTCGTAATCAAGTTTCTCTCGAAACTCGGCAAGAATGGCCGTGAAAGCAAAGAGTGGAAGACATCCGGGGAACCACGAACAAAAAAATCAAGAAAATCCCGCTCAAATGTCAAGACAATGTTGATTGTTTTTTTCGATGTTCGGGGGATTGTCCATCAAGAATTCGTCCCTCCAGGCCAGACAGTTGATGGAAAATTCTACGTCGATGTGCTCAGACGCCTCAAAGCTCGTGTGGCACGAGTTCGTCCAGAATTGGCGCGAGAGGGGCGTTGGATTCTTCACCACGACAATGCCCCTGCCCACACCTCTCTTGTTGTCCGTGAGTTTTTGAGTAAAAATTCCATTACGGTGACCGAACACCCCCCCTATTCGCCGGATTTGGCCCCGTGTGACTTCTTCTTGTTCCCAAAAACCAAATTGGTACTTCGGGGGCGGCATTTGGGGGACATAAATGAGATAAAAAAAGCTACGACGGGGCAGCTGAGAAACCTACAACCAGAGGACTTTCAAGGAGCCTTCTCACAGTGGAAACGGCGTTGGCACAAGTGCATTATGTCACAGGGGGAGTACTTTGAAGGGGATAAAATTGATTTACCTGAATAATTGTAAAATAAAATTTTTAAAAAACTTTTATACGTACTTTCCGGACAAACCTCGTATTGCTAGCAATGGGACTACTAGTCCCCATTACTAACAATCCCTTCTCCCACCAAATATTATTATTAATAGCGACAGCGAAGAATCTTATTAACCCTTCTAGAGGATAAAAAAATATACTGTTTACAGGATATAGAGAAAATACCTTGTATATAGCAATATATCCAACCAGACCGACCTCCACGCGGTCCCTCCTGTTGTGTCGTGGTTCTTAAGAAATTCGTCACAGTGTATCAACTCACCTGCTTTTATCCTAACCTCCTATCCCTTACTGGTATCCCGCCAGCATACGCGGATAGCGCAAGTGGGGAAACCATTCCATATATTGTAAACAATTAAAAAAAAATACTAGGACGTAAAACTATTATCATAATATATTATATATGGCATAGATTATTTATTTATTCTTTATTGCACAATAAAACTTTGTACAACTGGCGAGCTTAATGCCATAGCATTCTCTACCAGCTAACCATTAGGTAAAAACAGAAAGCGTATGAAGGGCAGATGTGGCGAAAAATATGTGACATAATTATAGCAACATAGTAAAATAATTATACATAAAAACTATGGTAAATATTATGGTATATATATTATATTACTGTTCGATAACTTCATTAAATAAAATAAAAAAAAAATACGGATATTATACTATTACTTGCATCTTTAAAGGTTCTCATTAAAATACATTAGAATTTTATAAAGCGGTCAGAGGTCGGTACAAAAAACACGGTCGGGTATAGCGAGAGCGAAAGTATTTCAATAAACTTTTTGTTCACTAGTGGTGGGATTGCGCGTGGGGTGTGCCGCTAAATCGGTGTTGCCAGCTACCTGATAACCTCGCCATTAAAAGGGTATTCGTGAACTTCCCTTACTACACTTTTATTTATTTACACTTTATTCCAACAGCAATAAAGTATAACTTTTGTTCAAATAATCACAGAAACACTATCTGAATAATATGAGGCAAATAGCTGACGGTCAACTTGATGGAAAGTGGTAATTGTCGCCTATAGATAAGAGCAATACCTTGGGCATAACAAAGTATACTGTTTCGCCCAAGATACCTCCCATGCGTTGCCATTCTTGAAAACTCAGGTGTTATTCCTCTGTACCCTGTAAATTAACAGTCATATCCCACCCTTCAAACCGAAACACAGCCTTGCAAACACATCTGCTTCACGGTAGAAACACGAATGGGACAGAGTTGGCCAAGCAAACAACTTTTATACAAAGTCTCCCTCTGGTAAAATTAATGAATTATACATTTATATACATTTTCATTAAAATTCGTAGCACGATGCAAATGTTTCTATTTTTTTATTGCGTACAAAATAACGTAGGTATTAAATTAATTAATTTCCAGTTTCATTTTACGCACTGGACTTCTAAATTGAGCCTTTATTAAATGGTTTTATTTAGCTCGACCTGTACGGTATTTATTTATTTGGGTCAAAATTAGAAATTGGAATTTAAGCACCTTCCCGTTGTCAGATTGATCTGAAATTTGGTACACACATTTAATTTAGATGACAATACAATATAATAAAATCAATAACATTATAAATCTAAGATGGCCGCCGATACAAAATGGCGGATTACATATTTTTCCTTAACCCCCGCAATATGGGTATCAAATAAAAGGGCTACACTAGTAAAACACGATGATTATGTCAAAATTTAAAATTCAAGATGGACGCCGTTCCAATATGGCGGACTAGGTACATATTTTTCCACAACCACCATAATATGGGTATCAAATAATAAGACTACACTGCAGAATACTGTCATTATGTCAAAATTTCAAATTCAAGATGGACGCTGTTACAAAATGGCGTATTAGGTGGGGGCATGATTAGTCGTATCGAGAACAGTTGCGTCTAAGATTGTGTGACGTTAGAGGGGCAGATAAAAAAAAAATAGGTAATTAGATACCTCGTTAGTAAGCGGTAGTTATACCACCCAAGTTAAGGTAATAGGTTAAAACGTGCCGAGGACTGTATGGCATTAGGGTGGATAAAAATGTAATGTCGTAAGCGCTTCCACCTCAAGATTGGGCGCATCTTGTTGTATATTAAGCTTTGCCCCTTTACTAAACTGCGGGGGGGGGGGGGTCGACCGTTAAAATGCCCCTTAATCGTGGGAACAACATGGTAACAATAAACAAAAAATACCAACAAATATAAATAAGACTGGAGGCTTACCATCAGTACTTGAAATATTTGTAGGTGCAAAAGTAATGTTGCGGTCCAACATTGACGTTACAAAAGGATTGGTAAATGACGCTATAGGCCACATTACAGAAATTTTTTGGCCTCAGTTCCGTCGAACCCAAATGTACGAAACAGATATATCATCAGTTTTAATTGACTTTGGCACAGACGGCATGCACGTTATATACCCTAAAGCCGTACAGTTTCCAGCAAAATTCAATTATGGTACGGCTGAAAAAAGGATGTTGCCCTTAGTTTTGTCATGGGCATTCACCGTCCATAAAATGCAGGGCAGCACCGTCGACCATGCAGTAGTATATTTGGGCTCAAAATGGTTTGAGGAAGGACAAGCATACGTGGCTCTAAGTCGAGTCAAGTCTCTGGAAGGGCTATGTATTGAGGAATTAGATTATACTAAATTATTAGGTAAGAAACCATGCAATAATGATGCACCATGCAATAATGGGGCCCCTCTGAAATCATACCTATAGCAGAGCATATCTTATACTTTAGTAGATCATGAGCTCGGCGTTCGCTAGTGAAGCCGTAACGGCTGGTTATTGATGGTCAAAACCTCCAGTTACGATTATAGTAAGTCGATTCAGCGGAACCTGGACTCCGGAGTTATGAGGTTTCGGATGCGACCGGGATAAACCGCTAGGATGATGATGATGACGATTATAATAAGTCGATGCAATCCACACTTAGTATAGTAGAAAGTAATACAGAAATAGTTAATGGGCCCCACGTTTTTATTTTAGTCTAATATGCCTAAAAGCTATTCTGCCTAGTACTAAAATATTTCTGAACTAGAAGGTCAAAATACCTACTTGTTATAGTGTGGGCTGCTTAGTTTACCTACCAAGCAAACCCTGGTGTTAGTGTTCTCTCATGAACTGCCTTTCGGCCGCTGACATGGTTCATGTTATGACAACCACTACCATCAGAGATATTAATGACCGAGATCACCTACGTAGGTTGATAGGTAAGTAACTATTTATTTATTTTGTAGTTTTCAGGGCACATAAAATAAAACCGTTTAACTTAAAAGTTTTTTTACCGATTTTTATTTGTTATTTATAAACAGTTAATAATTTTATGCGGTCACTAATCAATTTTCAGTATGTATCAATTTGAATTTCAAATAACAATGCAATACAATGGCCGTTATTAATTTTGTACATATATAATGTATTTATTTATTTTGTATAGGTATAATTTTTGTTTCTTTACCTACCCCAATAATGAAGTACCGCGATCGTGATTCACTGTTCATCACAAAGATCGACTGGAAGAGATAGCTACTAGTATCAAGTCCGGTTTTTGTACCATATTTTATTTTAGTCAATAAAGTTGTTTAAATAAAATAAATAAATAAATACTTGTCTATAAAAATTATAAGACAGGTGTCTACATTCATAACACATATTGAAAGAAGTTATAAACATGTTGTGTTTGATTATATCAATATTAATTTATGGGAGAGCGGCAAGTTCATTGTCACAGCTGGCCACACCGCGCCGTCACAGGCGGGCGAACAGTGCGCCCGCGTCCTCCGCCATGGCCGTCCGACGCCTGCGCACCTTTCTCGCGTTAATCGCGCTTGCGCACACCTCGTGCGCATTAATCGACGAAGTCATAGACGTTCTTAAAATCGGCAAGGAGGTCGCCGAGGACATTATAAATAGTTGGGACGTGGTCGGCAAGCGATTCAACGCGACCGATGGAGTAGACCTGCCTTTCGTTAGGCGAGGGGAGAGGCAAATCTTGTCGCGTATCGCCGTCGTGTCGCGGTCGATCGAAAAGTTGGAAATGCGTCTGCGAAGGACTAATGCCGTGTCGATGCTGTTGACCAAAAAAGCGGGCAACGGTGCGAGGTTAGAGTTGAGGCTGCACGAAATGACGGACTTGCTGAACAGGGTGGCGGCCGCCAACCGACAGATGCGGGAATACGTGAACCTCCAGCGGGAACTAGAGAGGAGCACGCTGGAGAACTTCGCCGAGTGGTGTGTGTCGCACGACCCGGGCGCGTTGCCTGGCCTACTGGAGCGAGTGCACTCACTTGTTGACCCGCCAAACAAACATTTGCTTGGGAGAAACTTATTCCGATTGGTCCTCGAGGACATTCAGGTTTGTTAGTTACGTACACATTACATACGTACATACAATTAGCAAACATAGCATTCCGTAACTGTGCCACATTGTGAACGATGCTGCCCCGGATGAAAAACATTGTAAACATGAGACTGTATGTGCAATAATGGCTTCACGCGATATATGTAAGGTACATCAAGCAGTCAAGAGTACTGTTACATTATAGGATTCCGTAAACAAATGACAAAAACAAACTCCTTGTAGGAACTAGTAACACCTATCATCAAGATCTTTCTGAACTCCTAGTGCAACCTATTCTAAACGAGTAAGATCAATATTTAACATTAAATAAATCGTGTTTGAATCCAGAAACTACACTAATTTTCGTTATATTTATTTGGATATCTGCGTGTTTTAATATAATAACAAAGATATAGAGGGGAGACGTGATCTTCTGAAGACAGTGTACGAAAACAATAAATTATTTCTACGACGGACGTCTCAACGTATTCAAATGTTTGAACATTTGAATGCATGGAGAGGTCAAAATCTTATCACAATATTGTTATTTCTCGATAGGCTTAAGACATTTTGAAGGTTGTCCTTTAAAATGTCTTAAGCCTATCGAGAAATTTTGTTTCCTTTGCCTTATCTTAACCATAGTCTGAATTTCATTAAAATAATGTCTTTTAATAATGCTAAATTAATTGATTTCGTCAATTCAAAAGTACTTACACTGCTGTGATATAGGCAGTCAATTTAAAAACTTCAAATAAAGCTACAGAACCCTGTTATTAGGTATCCAACACAAGCTGGTCAGTTAACGTTTTGCATTGTGTGATTTATCCACAGTTCGTCTGCACTCGAGTGATATGAGGTCATTTGTCACGTCTTTATTTACAGGCTATTGAGCCCCACAACAAGGTCCGCATTACTCTATATCCGTTTGGTAGTCTGTACTTGACATATGAGATTAGACGTTGTTTTTTTTTTAAATGAAATCTTTAAGTGCGTTGGGCTTTTTTCGAAATGGAAAAAAACCATTGAACTCGGGACATTGTTACCGTAACCGACCCCTCTGTCGATTCAAAAAATACACCCGTAATCGTTCAAGTTTTCACTTCTATCAGCACTCTCAGAGTGTCACTGTCTTTTTTTTTTATATAACTCAGGGGGCAAACAAGCATGCGGCTCACCTGATGGTAAGTGACTACCGCCGCCTATGACCTTTTTAAAAAGGAATATGCTCTTTTCTTAAAGGTTACGAATGTAAACTATTTTAAACATTAACGTAATCAAAGAGAAAGAAACAGGTTTTTGGTTACGTGGAGGTTTTCAAAACCAGTTGTAAAATGACGAGTACAAAATAGCTAGTATTATGTTCGCTGAGGAAACAATTAGTACCACTTATTCTTCATTTCAAACATTAATTACCCACTGTTGGACATAACATGCGTTAGTTACTATGGCGAGCAAAGATGAACAAAAATTGAGATAAACAAAGTGAAATATTACATGTGTACTACACAACATTTATTACAGCAGTTGTTAACTGTTCACTGATGGGCATACGCCTCCCCAATAAGGGGGGCGTTGCCAATAGTTGTCACGTTTGGCAAACGAATTGGCAGTTAGTTAGGCTACCTAATATATGCAGTATTTTGGGGGAAAAGGTATTGTTAATTATAGGGATTAGTAACCCCATAGCTATCAATACACCTTGTCAGATCGACCAACCCGAGGATTCCCCTGGAAACCATCGTGTTCAATTCCAAGTGAATTCATGACGATGAGCTTACTGAGCTACCGTTTTTCTAACGCAGACGGGGTGACCATTCCATTATCGTCTATTTAAAAATATTAATAGTAGCCAAAGTACTGCTCATGTCTATAGGCGACGGTTACCACTTTCTATCAGATGGGTCGTCGGCTCGTTTGCCATTCTAAGTTGCATAAAAAAAAGAATATATGCAGTAATTATGATATTTAAATTTGACGCCAAATTAAATGTAGTTTTAGTTAAAGTATAGATCGATATATAAGTATAGAAAGAAAATTTAAATTATGTTTAACACAAAGCAAGTAATTACTATCTTGCTTAATGCTTAACCTAAAAATCAAGCAACAAAGAAAAAAGTTATTGTTTACAACAAAAAAAACTGTAAATGTTTCCACACATCCTACACACTATATCCTTTGTGGACATGAGACTAAGTTTCAGAGGTACCAATTTGTATGAAAATGTTTGTTTTTAACATATTATCTACATTCCATAGTAAAACCATTCATAGCAATTCATCTATTTTAATTAATTTCTAGTACGTGTTTGAAAACGTGTTACAAATTAGCATGATAATTTTTAGCAAGATTCTCTGAAAGGGACCTAATGTGCTTAAGCTTAAGTATTGTTTTGCCATGAATATTGAATTCATGACTTTGATATTAGTATAACAGTATAGCAACAATAGTCGCCATGAGTCAGCGGGTCAATTAACTCCCATCTCAATGATAGGACAGGGCTGAGCAAACTTCCGACGTCCTCACTACATTGTCCCCTCTCATACAAATTATGTAACTCCCGTATGGAGGTATTATATATTCATAATGCCTATAGTAAACGTTTTTTTTTTTAATGTATGATAATAGAATGGTAACCCCGCCTGCGCTATCGGTATATGAAAGATGACAGGTGAGGATGAAAGTAGGTCAATTAGCCCATCGTGACGAATTCAACTAGAATTAACCACGATGATTTCCAGAGGGAACCACGTGGAGGCCGACCTGACAGGGTATATTGATAGTAATGGGGTTATTTGACCCCGTTACTGACAATCCCTTTCCCCCTATAGTAAACGTTTTGAACATAAGCTTCTACACCCTTATTCATAAAAATTAAGATGTTCTACTAATCTATTTTAACTAGTTCATTGTTTTGTCAGTTTCTGTCAGATTGGAGATTTAACTTAAAGAGATAAAATAGTTCCATAGCTAAAATGGATTTAAAGAAACATAGAGAGATTTGACGATTTTATAACTAAAGGGGAGGGGGGGTAAATCTTTTTTAAGCAACTTAGAATAACTAACAAGCTGACGGTTCATGTGAGAGAAAGTGGTAACCGTAGATACTAGCAAAGTATTAAGTTTCTAAAATCTTTCCAAAAAATTAACACACTTTTTTTTTGGACAAAAATCACTCTAATGAATCTTAATGAATGGAGAAATGTAATCGTTTCAGAGCATTTTTTAAATAAACAGAAATACTGAAAATTACTTACACTTCTTTTGTGGTCACTATGTAAGTCTGGCCACATTTTTATGTAGATATTATTTCTTGTTTCTATTTAAATGATTGTCTCGTCTTGTATATATATGTATATATATTATCGCTCTTAAGAATATTATTTTTCACTGTGACCGTCTACAAAAATTGTTCAATTGTTTTTTGAAAATTAACACATACCTAAAATTCCAACGTTGCCTCAATTGAATATGACTATAATGATTTTAAGAGACTGTTTAAATCGAAATTCGATTTAAATAATAATTGTAGGCTATATGCTTGTTAAAACTGGACGGTAGAAGGAAATAAATTTACATATATTAGCAAAAAACTTCTTTGCGAATAATTTATATTAAACGGCTTAAAAAAATAGCATGTTCTCTATTCGACATCACGCGATATCTTTTCCAAGTGTAAAGCGACTTTTGATGGCACATTTTTAAATAAAAGTGTTTAAATACCACGGCATTGGTTTTGATGCATTTAAAAAAAAAGACGTTTATCAGAATATGAACCTTAATTGCGCAGTAGTAAAGTATAATAAAGAAACAGATTACAAGATACACCAGTACCTATTATTAGATTATGTTGTCTTATAATATTAGCTATTATATCCTACCGCAGTTACGAAGGGCAAAGAGCAAATCATAGACTAGTATCACAAACTGATTAAACTCAACAATAAGAAAAAAAAAGAAAAAAGTACAAATATTTTTAATAAGAAAGTTTGAATCTTTCGTCATTTCTGAACCGATTTCGATAATAATTTTAGTGACCAATAAGGTTTATTTCCGTGTACATACGAGGTCTGTCCGGAAAGTTCGTATAAAAGTGTTCTGGAATGCGAGAAAGAGGAGTGGGGAGGCCAGGTAAGCGCAGGACCCCTTCCTTATGTCCCTAACAATGCTTCAGTTCTGGTCTGCGAGTTCTGCGGTGCGAACTGGCTTGTCACGCCATCTGTGAAGTTACCTCTTAACGAAACCCCGTCGGCATGGAGCCCGCTTCCGTTGAAGAGCAGCGCGTCGTAATCAAGTTTCTCTCGAAACTCGGCAAGAATGGCCGTGAAATTTTTGCCGATCTCAGAACAGTTTATGGGGATGATGCTGTGAAGGAACCAACCGTCCACAAGTGGCTAAAAAGATTCAGAGAGGGCCGAGAAAGCGTTCAAGATGACCCACGTTCAGGACGTCCTTCCACTTCACATTCCGACGAAAACGTGGAAAGAATTCGAACTTGTGTTAATGGGGACCGTCGTTTAACGGTCAGACAGGTGGCTGAAGAGCTTAATTTGGGCAAAACCGTGGTCCACGAAATTCTAAGAAACGAACTTCAAATGAAAAAAATTTGCGCCAAGATCGTTCCGTGAGTTTTTGAGTAAAAATTCCATTACGGTGACCGAACACCCCCCTATTCGCCGGATTTGGCCCCGTGTGACTTCTTCTTGTTCCCAAAAACCAAATTGGTACTTCGGGGGCGGCATTTGGGGGACATAAATGAGATAAAAAAAGCTACGACGGGGCAGCTGAGAAACCTACAACCAGAGGACTTTCAAGGAGCCTTCTCACAGTGGAAACGGCGTTGGCACAAGTGCATTATGTCACAGGGGAGTACTTTGAAGGGGATAAAATAGATTTACCTGAATAATTGTAAAATAAAATTTTTAAAAAACTTTTATACGTACTTTCCGGACAAACCTCGTATATTAATTTTATCCCGATTGAAAGTAATCTGTCGACTGTTAAATTAAATAAATTTA